TGTGCGTTACTGCGTCAGACTGCAAAGTCATTTGAACTGCAAGGTCGGTGGTTCAAGCTCACCAGCTGCTCCTTGGAAACCCTCTACAGGGTTGCTATAGGTCAGAATCGACTCAATGGCACTCACCCCCACCACCATGTTAATAGTTGGCACCACTCAGGAACTCCATTAAGTCTCATGAACTTTCACACAAGAGGCGGGTGGGTTGGCTAAAAAAGGGTGAAATATGCCTTTGTGGCTATGGACCAATATGAATTAGATGAGGGGGCTTCAAAAACTCAAGGAAAAATTCCATTATCCTTTTCATGGAACTTTTTACAGCCCCCTCTTACAAAAGTTAAACAAGCACATCGAATTCCAAGTTCAATTAAAAAGAAAATGTCAGGTGGATAAGAATAAATGTACATCTGCCTGTTAGCCTGAGCCATGTGTTTGGGGCCACCTTGAATGATGTTACAGGTGTGGAAAGCTTCCAGGACAAGAAGAAAATGAAGATCCTGAGAACTGGCAGGCATTTAAACCCTAAGACCATTAAGACGATGTCTCCCATGCATAGGCTTTAAATCAGACAACCCATAATACTTGATGTAGAAAATGTTCCAGCTTCCATAATTCTTTATTAAATATTTTGACAAGTTGCAACACTTCATTACAACGACTTCATTTTGTCACATTACTCTCTTGCTGTCAGGAAAACAGTACCATTTCTCTTTAGATTACAAGGAAAATGAAAAGCAAAAAGGATTTGTCCTTAAACAAAACTTTTTTTTTTTTTTTTTTTTCCAGCGTGTATCAAATTTCATCATTATTTTAAAGCTATTCCGGTTGTGAAAATCAGCATTAACCATAAGTTGTCTTTAAAAATTTCAAGGTAGTCGTTTCTTTTTTCTGTTTTTAACACCAGTATATCAAATAGCATTTGGCTTCCATTAAGCGGTGGTTTAAGGAGCTCTGGTAGCGTAGTGGTTACGAATCAGGCTGCGAACCTTAAGGTCAGCGGTTCGAAACTACCAGCCACTCCGCGGGAGAAAGATGAGGCTTTCTACTCCCGTAAAGATTTACACCCTCGGAAACCCTGTACAGGGTCGCTATGGGTCGGACCCGACTCGATGGCACTTAACAACAACAACAACAACAAGCGGTGGTTTATAATAAATAGCTATGAAACAATGAGAATTCATTTGGAATGCTTGAAACCCTTTTCACCATGAAAGTCACTGTTTTCCTCATATTTTGTTTGGTTACCTATCCTGAATTAAGAAAAGACACCAAATTTGGGTCAGAATAGTCAGGATGTACAGCTTGAAGAAAATTGTAGAAGGGACTGAAGCCTCGCTGCCTTTTGAAACCAGGTTACTCAATCAAAGTGTAAAAACGCTATATAAATATACACGTGTTTGGACAGCATCTGTACATACATGTCTTACATACGCAGTAGTAAAGGAAGAACAAAGTTTTGCAAAGTTATCATGAAGGAAACTGTGACAATCTAGGTGAAATTAATCTGAGTAAACAGGACCAAACTGTTTTACACAGGAACACAGACGTTGGTAGATACATGATATGGTCAAGAGGAAATTCTTTGATACACAAAGTTAAGGATGCAGTCCACAAGGGGTTGTTGGCCACTAAATGGTGTCAGACCCTTTACACACATCAAACCCACTAGCAAAAAGACATGCCTCTCCAACATGCCTGGCGTTGAGTGTTGACATCTTATGGGAACACTGGCTGTCTGGCTTTCTTAGAAAATTCCAGACAGACACAAAGCTACCCCCACCCCCCTCCTGTAAAACATGACCCTGGCTCATGTCTTATTGCCACAGTGTTTTCTGACACACTGAAAACTCTCTGGGGTGGGGTGCACATATGCAATGTACAGACACTGTTCATTAAGGCTTAGATAAATAAAACAAACAAAAAAAGTGGTCCAAAGTATATCACATTTTCTTCCCAGTTTTAAAATCTGAAGTACAAAGTAGGATGAAAGATTTTTTTAAAATGCTTATCTCTGACCTGAAGTTGGCAGTTTTGACATTATTTCTCAGGATATACCCCACAGCCCAAAGACAGAGGTAGTGCATGATCTTCTGGGGGTCAGGAAGGGAGCAGGCAGGTGGTTACCCTGCACAGCAGCGCCTCCTACTGGCAAGTCAGAAAACAATGCCAGACAGCACCTTCCCACCTCTCCCTCCAGGGCTGGGGGCAGGAAGACCAGGAGGAGAGAGGCAAAGAAAGAGGAGAGCTAGCTTGATGGGTAGGGGCTCCTGAAAGGATGAACCCAGACTTCTCTATAGATGTGAAAATTCCAGAGGTGAGCTATAAGACTCTTAGGGAAATGTCAGAGTCAACAGGTAAACCATCATTCACTGCTACAACAACAATCAGTGACCTAGTGCCTAAGAACCTGGCATTCAAGGCAGGCAATCTGCATCTGGCAAGATCAAACATTGGTACATGCTAGTCTCCTTAACAATGTGAGATGCAGGGAGTGCTTCAAATATTTTACAAACCAAATTTCACTGTGTCCTCAAGTGGGAGGAGTAATTCCACACTGGCTATTTGACCTGAGGGTGGCTCACCAAGAGCTTTGGAAAGAAAATACTAGCCACATGTCACTCACTGTTGTAACTTGCCAGGAGACTTGCTACAGAACAGTAAACCACAGGCAGGTTTCAGGCAAAACCAAACCAAACCAAAATAAAGAAGAGCAATGAGATGAATACAATTTGAACAGAGTTAAGTGCCTCATCAGTTTTCATTCTGTAGGCAGCAAGCAGGTGGAAAAGCAGTGCTAACCTGGCTGAGCTAATCCCACCAGACAGAATTTCCCAATTCACTCCCCTTAGATTGATAAGCGATAGGGATAGAAACCTCCATGATCTCTGGGCAGCTGTGGTAACTGATGTTCAGAGACCTTCACCAGGTAACATGTACGCTTTGGAACGTACTTCTTAACCAATCCAAAGCAACTGTGCTGCAGGGGACTATGGAGACTAGATGAAATGAATTCCTATGGCCTGGGAGAAAACAACCTAGGAAAACCCAATACTTCAAAGTAGTGTGGGATGCTCAAGCTGCTGGCCGAAAAGCTGGTCACAAGGGAATGACCAAGCAACCTGGCTCAAGAGACTGTATGTTTTCTTGACTGCCAGTTCTAATTAACTCCCGAAGATGATAGGAAACGGTCATTAAGGTTTATTAAAAACAAAATCTATAGCTATTTCAGACAGACAGTGAAACATTAGAGATTGCTAACAAATAGTAAACCTTATTTTGATAAAAGCAAACAAACAAAAAAACCACACACACACAGAAATATACAATTGTCATTACAATCGTTGTTACTAAGGGGCAGATGAATGGGACCACCATTCTCAACTGCTGTCCTTCAAGTCTTCATGGGGGCATGGTCTGAGAAGTCTTCTTTGTTCTTGGTTGAGCGTTTATCTTCAAACAGTTTTTCTTTCATACTTTCAAGACTTGGTCTACTTTACTTTGACTGGATATTCTTTTCTGAATATACAGTTTACAGAAGGACAGAGAGCCCAGTTCCTGGTCTACATAGAGGGACTGCAGTCCCTGTAATTTTATGATCACTCTCTCAAAGACCATCAACTTGGGCTTTGGCACGATTCCTAACAAGAACACATTTTGGACTATAATAGTACAAAAAGTGGGGTTTGCCACAGGTGTTTGCTGCCTTGATTAGAGGGCAAAAAGTCCCACCAGAAAGTAAAAATAATGAGTAATATTGGTCTTGATAATTACTCCAGATCTAAGTTTGTTGACTACCATTGAATGTTGTTAAGTCAATACACAAGAGAGCCAGTACTTGGCTTTGTGGAAATCTGCCTTCTATGAAAAATCTTGGGTCTCTCTATCCTTTTAGACAACACGTTTACAACCACAACATCCATGGCTTTTCCTAAGTCACCCAGTGCTGGGTAACTGGCCTTTTCTTACACCAAGAGGTTCTTCGTAGGCAACAAATGGAGCTCCTGAAACCACTTTTAACCTAAGAGCCCTCAACTGCCGTGACAGGGTATAGGACAATGTGAACTAAAGAGGAGGTCCTGAAAGCAGACCTCCCATTCTACTACAGACCTTCTCCTAACACAGGACAGAATTCTGTAACAAAGACTTCACAATGGAAGAGAACCACACTGAGCAGGAACCCTCAACCCCACGTCACCGCCAGTCCAACTGCCGGGCTTGAGTGGAGCAAATCAGAACTCTGTCAGTTTCCACTGAACACACAGTAGATACAAGTCCGTACGCAGTATTTCAGCATGCAACATGTCATAGTAACAAAACTCAGTTATATTGTCTGTTAAATAAATCTCGGTAGTTGAGTAGAATTCACAAAATAATCAGTGAAGACAGGTCTGCGGGCTCAGCTTGACATCTGGGTTTTATACATCATCAGCAGCCAGATTCACAATGGATAAATAATACCGCACCAGAAAGACGTGTGCAGGGGGTAGAGATCATTATCACATTTAATTTTTATGGTAACAAACAAAAAACACAAACACAACCAGACATAACCTCCATGTAGAACATAAAGTGCCTTCAGAATTGGTGCATTTAAGAACAAAAATGGGTTATTCGGCCAACCATTAGCAAATTCATACAAACAAGAGACAGGACAGGTCTGGTTTCCACAGCTTCAAATCGAGTAGTGCCAAGTTTCATTCAAAAACTTCTCGACTATGAACAGCGAAGAGGAAATGCAATCACAGGAAGACTACAGTGTCAGGAAGGGTTAATCAATTTCTCCTCAGAGAACAGAGTCCAACCCTGTCTCAAATGTGTTGTAGCACACGTCATTACGTAATTACGTGGAAGGAATAATGATGTGATTCCGTCAACACAGAATTTGTCATGCTATGTTACAATTCTCTCAGCCTGTCACAACTATGCTAAATTTGTACAAACAAAACATAACAAAACAAAAACACAATACATAATATCCAGTTTGTTCTCATCTTCTCTGGGTATGGGAAAAATAATCATTATGCCTAATGTTCTACTGGAGAGTCTCTCAAAGTACTTGTCTGTAGACAAGTTTCTGGACAAAAATCAGTCTTCCGATTCTAGAAGTCGGGGTGGGAGAGTCAAAGGACTTCAAAAATAAAAATATCACTGACATGGAGTCTGGTATGAAATGCAAATACAAAACAGAAAAAGAAAAAAAAAAAAAGAGTTCACTTTCCAAGTACAGGAGACATCTTTAATCGTCAAGAAATAAAATCTGAAAATCGGTCTAAATCATTTAAAAAAGTAAACATGAGTTGTAATACTATACCTGTAGGGTGATTAATTCCATTTGTTGTCATTAGAAAGTATGTAAAATATTTATTAAGGGCTTTGCCTACAGAGGCACGACATAAATAGAGGAGTTCCTCCTGAAATGTAATTAGTGTGCATGACAACCAGTGGAGAGTCTGTGGAAGAAAGTCCAGGAAAGTCTGTGCTGGGCCGGCTCCCGCATCCGAGCTCGGACAGGTGCCAGGACAAGGCTCTGCCCCAGAAGCCTCACTGCGCAACCGTGCTTCCGCTGCTGTGTCTGCAAACGTCTGTTAGGCAAAATGCAAAAGTGCAAGTAGAACTTGCTGGACGGATGACCACTCCCAGGCTGAGGTCATTTAATCCACCCCTTCGAATCCTTGAGCATTTTCCACAGCCATGAGAAGTTTCTCTCGTAAGTCTTCAAAGGTTTCATATGGAGGTAAATCAAGGCGATTAAAGCTGCAAAGAGGAGAAAAGAGTGGAGATGAAAGCGACCATCAGCAGTTCCATCAGTTACAACAACATTTCCTAGATTTGGCAAAGAGCTCACCAGAGGATGAACCAGTCTTAGCCAACAATGTTGAGAATCAAAATATAAATTCCGGCTATGAAAATGCCCACACCAAATAAGCTACAAGATCTATGGAGGAAAGAGAACTCGGTTACAGGCAAGAATCCCATGGGGGGGTGGGGAGGGGGCAGTTATAAGCCTAGTGCCTGGATCACACCCCAGACCACTGACTCTCAGTCTCTGGGGGTGGGCCCAGGTGGTCTCACTACGCAGCCAAAGGCTGAATACCACTGAGTTTGAGAGGTTGTTCTGGCAGCACCATTTTCTAGTTGTGGCTGAAGTATGTGAGGGTTGAAATACAAAAACAGTTCAACAGAAGATGCTCAACTACTAGCTGTTGGTGGTTCAAACTCACTCAGCGGTACCTTGGAAGACAGCCCTAGTGACCTGCTTCTGAAAGGTTACTGTTGTGTGCCATGGAGTCAGTTCCAACTCATAGCGACCCTGTACAGGGTTTCTGAGGCTGTAAATCTTTATGGGAGCAGAAAGCTCATCTTCCTCTCACAGAACAGCTGGTAGTTTCGAACTGCTGACTTTGCGGCTAGCAGCCCAATTTGTAATCACTAAGCTACCAGAGCTAGCAACTGTAAAAAACTCTATGGACATGGAGCACACTTCTACTCGGTATATATGGCACTGTTAGGAAGTGAAATCAACTTGAAAACAAAAAGGGGAAAAAAAACCAACAAAAAAATACTACCCCCAAAACAAAAAAAGCTATCTGTTCACAGGATCATAGGGGCATTGACTATATTATATACTGTTACATTCTCTTTGAAGAGTCTAAATAGAAAGTAAACTGTGTGTCACTCCAGCAGAGCTGAGTTCAAATCCTGCTGCTTTGTGAATATCTGAACTGTGTGATCATGAGTAAGCTTACTAATAGCTTATGGGGATAAAAGTCGTAAACCACAGGTAATCATCAAGGTTATGTAGTATTACAGATGTACTTAGATGATAATTATCATTTGCTGTTAAGTGCCGTCAAATCGGTTCCAACTCATGAACCAACGACCTTGTGGTTCAAAATGACCTTGTAGTCCAGCGCATTAACCCAGGATGCCCTTATCAATACTCATTAATACTAGGAGTTTGGGCATTCTGCGTCAGTACCAAAGTCCTGCCTTTCCAACTAAACGTCTCACAAATCCACCAGTACTGGTTACCACGGGGTTGATCCTGACTCAAGGCAACCCCAGGAACGTCAGAGTAGTACAGTTGTGCTCCATAAGGGTTTCAATGTTTCCAGGCCTTTCTTCCGAGGTGCCTCTGGCTGTGCTGGAATTGCCAGCCTTCTGGTTAGGAGCCCAGCACATTAACCATCTGTGCCACTCAGGAACTCCAATCATAACTGGGAGGAACCACATTTGACTCTGGTATCACTTGGAATAAAAGTTTCAAACTACCAAAACCTTGTCCCTCTGAAACTAAGGGAGAAATGCTCAGGTACATGACTGTGTTGGTGTTCGCCCACCTCAGCGGGGAGTCTGCTTGCTTTCAAGGGCCTGGCATTGATCATATTCATTCCATTCAGAGAGTCCTAAGAATGATCTGAATGGAAAAATGTTTCTAACAGAAGCAGAAACCTTTTTATAGCCAAATTTCTCATGAATACATGTTAATGCAACTTCTTTCCACACCAGCACTCTCAGGTTCCTGCCCCAGAATTCAGTTGTATATCCAGCTCTGAGTGGCCAATGTGGGCTCAGAAACCTTTGCCAAGGGCAAGAAACGCAGGGTTGTCTGCTCACCATTCTAGAAGGCCAACCCCGCCACAGCTTTCTAAAGAGCAAAGTGTAGAGCCCGTGTGGAAAATCATACGTGTGGGACCTTGGATCAGCAAGAACAGAGCTTATGGAATGCTGTTGAAAAAAAAAATCCACCGCACCAACTTTGTGTCTGTGTGGTGCCATGTGGCTTTGCAAAGCCCCCCTCTGAAGTCCTCCTCCTCATTCTGTGGGGCCTCTGATGACAGTACTACTTCACATATCTCTCCTCTGGATATGGGGCCATCTGCCAGACATGTAAACTCCCACCACACCCACCAACTCCAGGAAATGGATAGTTTATCGATTGGCATGGAACAACCAATTTAACATTGCAATAAAAATCCATCTGCGGATAGGGTAGAAACTGTCACACCCATATATATTGAACACATTAGGGAAGAGGGTGTTTGGAGGACGAATTTCTGGTAGTGGTGGTGGTGGGGTTAACCCTTTCAGTGCCACACATACTCATTCTGACCAAATCCTGGTTTAAGTTTTAATAGTAAGGATCCCTGGTGGCACTGTGGGGTAAGCTTTGTACTACTAACTGCAAAGTCGGTACTCTGTGGGAGAAAGATGAAGCTGTCTGCTCAGGTAAAGATCTGCCACCCCTGAGACCCTACACAGGGTTACTATGAGTTGGTTTGGGTTTTTTTGTTTTTGAACCTGTCCATTCTGGTTCAAGCTCCTGACTGAAGATTTGCATTTCCGCTCCAGATATACTGAATTGGAATCTCCATTTTAACAAGATTCTCAGGTGGTTCTTCAACAGTGTAAAGCCCAGTTACTGTACAACTTAACATTTTCATCTGTTTCAATGTCATGTAAGCTATTTAGGGAGGAGCCTCAAATGGTGGATGGTTGGTTCCCACTCAGCCACTCCTCTAGAGGAGGACCTGGGGACTTGCTTTCGTAAAGATCGCCGACAAGAAAATCCTATGGGGCAGCTCTACTCCAAGGTAAAATCAACCGACGGCAGCCAACAACAGGAAGCGACCATGGGCAGGCAGTGTGGCCTCCACACGCCCCAGCCAGTACCACGCACACTGTTTGCTGACTGAACATCTGTGTTACTTACCACGTATGAGCTCTGGGCAGTTTCTCCGGACTCCCCCACTGCTCTATGGTAAACAGCTGAGGACCGTTGGAACCTAGAAGGAGCGAGCAGAACATTTCCATGAGCAATGCTTAGAACAGCAGGACAAAGCTAGGGTGTGACTTCAAGTCCATAAGGAAGGGCGGAAGAGAAGGTGGCAACCAGGCTGCATTTACCCCGGGCTCTGCCTGACAATCTCATCTACCACACGTAATATTACTGTATTTACTGTTGGAGGAAGCTCACAATGGACAGCAAGACTGTCCTTTCAACTAAACAGCTTACAATCACATGGATGATTCTGTAAAACCTAGATTTTTAAGATGCACCAAAGAAACAACAAAATAAAAATGAGAAAATCAACCTGAAGGTGCCCTGGGGTGGGAATGGGGTGGAGAGGCCCTACATTATGTACAGATAACAGTACAACAGCTTGATGCAAAAGCAAAAGTTTTTGGGTGAAGTACAGGTAGACCCCAATTTATGATGGGATTCCATTCCAACCACTCCATCCTGAATCGGTTCTGTTATAGGTCAAATACATGTTTGCTTTCAGTTTTCATTATTATTGACTTTCATCATCAGTATCTTTATAAAATGGACACCTGAGAATCTGCAAATGATTCACAGCAACGTTGAACGCAGTGCGTTACTAGTAAGACGTACTGAGCTGTAACTGTGGTTTGTCTTAATTTGCACATGCTGTATGTTGTGCTGAACCTGTGACATTGTTATGAAAAGACATCTGAGACTCGTCTAGGGGCCCAGGAGCCGAGTCTGGGCAGACACAACTGCATCCAAGAGAGGGATGACAGGAGGGATCCTGGTCCCCACACCATCCTGGCTCACCATAAAGTTCCGCGAATCCATTCATGGGTACTCGGGATGTCCCCGTGACAAACTGCAGTAACCGTATGCGCTTCTCGGCGTCCATCAGCAGCACTGCCTGTGAAGGGGGGCAGGAGGTTAGTGCGCCCCCACTTGACCCACCCATGTAGTGCGGGGTTGACAATGTAGGACTGAATCTTGGCTCTGCTGGATGGCAACTTAGACATTTGACTGTGAAGACTGAGGTCTGTTTATGGCCACCACAATCTTGACCCCTCTAATCTTAGAAAGTGGTCACAACGTCTCTGTCTTCTGCCAAGATGCCCAAATAAACGACATAAAAAGCCAAGTCCCTGATGGCTTCGAGCTCGTGTTTCTGTAAGGTGTGCCAGCCTCCCGAGACAACAATAAAAACATAAATTATAGTGGTACTGACACCAGGGAACCAGGATACTGGAGCATGAGATGGGATTTCATATGCATACAAATTCTCTAAGATAACATTTCATAAAAAACAAAACAAAAACGTAGACCTCTAAAATAATCTGTATATCTTCCATGCTTGAATTATCCCAGGAACTGAGTTCATTTTATCGGTGATATTTGAACTGCAGTTAAAAAAACAAAAAAACAAAACCCAAACTGTCCCAAAACAAAGGATTTACAAAGAACCTGCTCTTTCGTCTTTTCTCTCGCTTTTCTTCTGTCCTTGGAATAGAACTTAGCTAATTGTTGCTGTTGTTAAGTGCCGTTGAGTGGGTTCTGACTCATAGCGACTCTGTATAGGGTTTCCGAGAAGCAGTTGGTGAGTTTGAACCACCAACCCTGTGATTCAAGCAGACTTTGTGGCCCAGTGCTGACCCTATAGCACCACACCAAAGGCTTCTAGAAATTCAAACTGTTTAGGAGATTTTGTTTTTCTCTAAGTAAACATTCAGCCTTTAGAAAAACAAAACAAACTGGAATTGTCAACTTGAGTCTCCTTTGCACCCCATTCTGCTTCACAGCCTTCCTCAGGTGAGTACAATGAAAATAACTGTATTAATACAGCAAATCAAATTCCACCAGTATATCTGTTGAAAGATATAATGCTTAACAACGTTGGTTGTAATTAACAAAAAAATGGGGACAATGGATTTTTAAAAAATGGAAAATGGCATCTTGTAAAATTAAGTCCCAGAGCCTGGTCTTTCTGGAGAAGTCTCCACTTCTTATCATGGGCGGACCAGCTTCACATCTCTTGAGTCCAGTTAGCTCTTTTTCAGAACCACCCTACTCTCAGTATTCTCCTTGAAGTCAAATCAACATGACTTTAAGCAGGCAGAAAAGTAAGCATAAAAGCAACCTCACTCAGCTCCAGTTGTCTATTGGTGATAGACAGACAGACAGACAGCAGGAAAAGCTTCTCGTAGCTCAGTTTGTCTCCTCTCCCCCAGAGCCCGAGTTAACACAATGCCCTGATTTCCAGCGTCAGTCCACACTGAGAACAGGAAGGGCAGCAGGAAGCCCTGAGACCTCACCCACAGCTCCTGCCACACCAGCGCAGGGGATACATTACCTTCCAGAACCACTGGATGACAGGGTGATTTGGGCAGTAGCCGTTCTTGTAAATAGAATGCTGCCTCCAGTCGTTCACATCCACGTCACCAAGGCCGCACATCAGCAACTAGTAATGAAATTGAACAGGTGTAATCGAAGCAGGACAACGGGAGAGCCAAAAAGTCCTCCGCTCCGAGAAACCAGCTTTTATTCTCAATGTCAGCATAAAAACAAGAGAAGGTGGATACATGCTCCCAATTTTACCTGCCACAGCAGACATCATAGAGCATGGGGAGACCCAACTCCAAGAGGCATGACATTTCACATTGGACACAAAAGCGTCACACCCACTCAATTCTGCACCCGTCTAATCCTAAGCCCGGTGCCCACCAATACCCTTGTGTTCCATTAAATAGGCATTGGACCTGGGCTAAGGCTTATACCTCTGAGCAGTCGTCTGTGTTTATATTTGAAAATAAGTGCTCCCCTACAAGCCCAGAGAATTAGTGCATATTGACAGCAAGAATGCATCTCCCCAAGATCAAACAATCCAGGTGATGAGAAATCACCCCATCTGCTCAGGGGACCGTGGACTGAGAGGCACTAACCCATCGTTAATTCCTTGTTTATCACTTAAGGTTTATTTTGTGTCTAATTATGTAGCTTTCCCAAGGGGAAAGTTCCCTGTGAAAAAGTGGAGAATGAGGATAGTCTCACAGGAGTAGCAGGGAAAACGAAGGAAATTTCTACCAGAGGCCGGAAACCTGGTTCCAGGCCCCGCCTTTGCCAGCACTTCGCTGGGCAGGGGGCGATGTGCCGGATTTCTCCTATAAAGCTCACCTGATATGATTTCTATGCCACCATCTACTTTGATGTTTCCATTTTAAGATAAAACTACAGAGAAAGTATGAAAACATGCTTCAAGGAGGTGGCCTGGACAAACGTCTATTTGAGCCTCACCCACAACTCAACAGCCATGGGTTCCTCCCACCTACTTCTCACACCACAAAAAAGGGTGAGAAATAGCCTTTGGTTTGTGTTACCCGCTCTCATCTGAGTCAGTACAAAAAAAGCTGAAACAGAGAATCAGTAAACCACCTTTTGCTACGACCCTGCTGTCTGATGTTTTTCTTATTTAACATCAGTGACTTCAAGTTCAGTGAGACAGTTGGTCTCTCTCCCCTAGTAGATACTTACTCCATCTTATGCCAAATTCCCTCATTCAGCTGCCACAGTAGGGCTGGAGAAGTACCTCAAGAGCCCTGGCCAGCTGGATCTTGTAGGCAGGGGTGGGGGAGGCATCCCGAATGGATGGTGAAACCTTGGTTCTACCTGACCCAGTTTGCCTGACCTGGTATGTTCTGGACCACAAACCAGCTTGGAGCTAGGTCTCTACGTACCTGGTAAAGATGCGTACCCACTGCCCTCTCATAAGCAGAAAACTGATGGCTGACAACTTCTGCTATTCCTTATTCTTAAACTAGCCAACAAAGCAGCCCCACAGACAAGAGACATGCAGTAAAATCCACCTCCACATATTCCTCAGGATACCATGTACCAGAGAACATTAAAATCTACTTGCAAAATGATGAGACACTCTCATCTTCTAAACATAAAACGAGGTTCACAATACAAACCTCCAGTTCGTTTTCATCAAAAATTTTAATCAAATCAATAGGAAGCAGTTCTGTGAATCCCTGAAATAAAAAAGACAGAAATCACCTTAAACACATTTCCTTGAAAGACACAAACTTTAAAGGAAAAACAAACTTTTGGGTTAGCTAGGAAAATTATACTAAAAGCTTTAATTTTAGGTAAAATTACCTTTTTCTTAAACTGACAATTCACTTATCAATGACAGCATCAACCTATGTGTCGATCCCGACTCACAGTGACCCTACAGAGAGTTTCTGAGGCTGTAAATCTTTACAGGAGCAGAAAGCCTCATCTGTCTCCCATGGAGCGGTGGTGAATTTGAACTGCCGACCTGCGGTTGTATGTCTGCATATACACACACATTTGTATGTATGTTTATACATGTGCACAGTATGCACACATAAATATATATAGACACACATATGTGCTGGTGCTGTTGTTAAGTGCCATCGAGTCGGTTCCGACTCATAGCTTGTCCTACAGAACCACACCAGGGCTCCAATGCCACTGAAGCTCCTTTAACGTCCATTGTTGTTGTAGGTGGTGTGTGTGCCGTCGAGTTGGTTCTGACTCACAGGGACGCTGTAGAGTTTCCAAAGCTGTAAATCTCTACGGGAGCAGACAACCTCATCTTTCTCCTTTGGAGTGACTGGTGGGTTTGAACTGTCAACCTTGCAGTTAGCAGTCCATTGCTTATCCCACAATGCCACCAGGGCTCTTAATGTCCAGCTACTCCTCGGAAACCCTACACAGGGTCACTGTGAGTTGGAACTGACTTCATGACACTTAACAACAAAAGTTAGATTTACAGGAATTTCACTGTTAGCCAAGGTCAGACATTTTTAAATGGAGGCCTTTTCTGGAGGTTTGTTAGACTCAGAGAACTCTAAGGACTCAGCAGTGAATGGTACAAACAGTAGTTTCCAGTTACGCTGTCCCCTTTCAACACTGCCTTCCCCCTTGCCCAGTCTGCATGGCTATCCCAACGGCACCTCACAGAGTTATTCTCTAAACCACTACAGTGAGAACACTGGGTTTTCAATTTGGATCAAGCCACCTTGTGCTAACTCTCACCCTGTTTGAGGGGTGACGATTTCCCATATTTAAATTCAGTAAAACCCTGTAGAAGCCAGAACCTGTGTGAAGTGGAAACTCATTAGAGAGGAAAGCACAAATACTCCTCACTAATAACGACAGAGGTCAAAGGTGGGAAACCTGTAAGACCCGGAAACAGAAGCAGTCCCGTGGAGTTCTGGCTCTCACAGGCTTCACTGAACTTCCTGTCAATAAGGGCCCCAGACCACACTGCGGCTGTTCTTGTTACTGTGCCGTTGAGTTGGTTCTGACTCATAGCAACCATGTATATAGCATTTCCAAGGAGCTGCTGGTGGGTTTGAACCGTCAATCTTGTGGTTATCAGACCAGTGCTTATCCTTCAGTTCTTTATGAAAACAGCTAAGACAAATTAAGATGTAAGAGAAGCAAAGCAAAAGAAATAGAAAAAGAAAAAGGCAGAGTTGGGGCAACAACACACTCCTGGTTCTGGAGCTTGGCTAGGGGCTAGCTGGGCAGTCTCAGATTTCTCCTCGTGGCACTTCTTCAGGGGGCAAAATAAATTCCAGCACCCAGGCCCCGGGACCCCTGACTGAGGCACAGGCAGATCTCCTGGCCAGCCCTGCTTACCTCCAAGAATGCATTCATTTGCTTCTGAACCCTGTTCACAAATCTCCACTGGATGACGAGGCTGCAGAGAGAATGGAACAGTGTTTAATAAGCGTCTGTCTCTGGCAGCACGCATTTACTGCTTCCTAAGGAGTTCTGGTAGTGCAGTGGTTACGAATCGGGCTGCGAACCTCAGAGTCAGCAGTTCGAAACTACGAGCTGTTCTGTGGGAGAGAAAGATGAGGCTTTCTGCTCCCGTAAAGATTTACAGCCTTGGAAACCCTGTACAGGGTCACTATGAGTCGGAACCAACTCCTCGGCACATAACAACAACAACAATAATAACAAGCTTGCTGCTGGAGTCCTGGTGTGGCGCTGTGGGTTAATGCGCCACACTGCAAATTCAGTTTGCACTGCAAGGTCAGTGGTTCAAGCTCACCAGTTGCTCCTTGGAAACCCTATACAGGGTTGCTATGGGTTGGAACCGACTCGATGGCACCTAACGACAACTTAACAAAGATCACTGCTGCTCAGCAGGCAGGGCAAGGAAGGCAACCCTACAAAGGCACAGTACAGACAAAGGTCTAATGCTGGGACCACACTGTTCATTCAGCCTATTGACACCAACTGGATACACGGGGAAAAGCTCACAACACACAGAACTTCCAAAGAATGATTCTTGATGGCTTTGTTTTTCCGCATCAAGGTCTTTATGAATGTAACTACACAGTGAGAAGAAACAACATTATGGGGTATGAATGTATGTGGGTGTGTAGTGTGTACACAAAGATGCATACACACAAGTATAAATGTGCACAAATACTTATATTTTTCATCAACTATGTCTTTAAAAAGAGTACCAAGTACAGTGTATGTTGTCATATTTTATTCTCATAGTCAATGCACTGATTTTTAATACTGATGCATAAGCTTGATCAACCAAACAATTTACACTAATCTATTACTACCAGCGTTTCGAGGATTTATGTTAGATCCCTCTAAGTAATGGATATCCACTGGAACGGGTTTCCCAGGGACTTTTTTTTTGCATTGAGCAGAACTGACTGGAAGGCTAATCCCCTCTGGATTCTGTCTAAAGTGTTTTGTCTGGAAACAGCACAAGAACCTGGCTGCAAAGTGCTCTCACCTCCGAGGCGGCACTATGGCAACAGGCCTTGAGGTCCAGCCTGGCTCCACAGCCACTTGGTCCTATCGGGTTTTATTGGCGTCAGCAGCCACATAGCGTTCTCCTTGCACCAGAGGAACACAGGTATTAGGGAACAGCTGGCGATTTCAATCACCATTTTTTCAGTAAAGCTAGCTGGAACTCCGCCCAGCCCCAACCCACGACAAACTGGAAACTACAAAGAATTTGCTGCAAAGAATGATGTATGACTATACCTCAGGTATCAGATTTCGTGGACTTTACAGCCCAGTTCTCTGGGTGGACTGTTTTACAATCTGTCCAAGATCTGTACGTGCCTAATGAAGACAATGGTGTCTGATAGCGTGTCATCTTGTGAGATTTTTCCAAGTTCAGAACAAGCATGCCATTTCACATTAACCGACCAGAACTGCATTTGACTTTTCATTTTTTACTAAGCAGACTAAGCTCGTAACTTGATAGTGGAGGAAATTTCTACTGAGTAACAGTCACAAGCTTTGCCATGGTCTCTAAGGAGATTCCAGTAGTCTCTCTTTCAACTTAAGAAAGAAGGGCAGCAGGTCTTGTTTCTTTGCAGATGTCTCTAAAAGTTGTTAACACCCTTGGCCAATTCTCCACATTCTAGTCCTCACACCAATTTCCAATGAGAAGAAATGCAGAAACAGACTGAATGCAGACGAGGAGCTCAACCCACACAATGGGTGAAAACCCGATCTCAGGAGCCAAACACTGCTACATCCTTTTATGCCTGTACCAGGTCAGGTCTAAGCAGCCAGGGAAGTTAGAGCAATGAGGGCACCGTGGAACTCCACGGGATAATGCAGAATCGTGTGCTGGAAGCACACAGACACATGTACACCAAAAGGAAAAGGAATTGCTTAACAGAAGATGGTCTTCCAAATAGTATAAATATCCTAGGATTATTGAACAGCTAGACTTCTAAATAAACTTTTGTTACAACCACTGAGGGTGAGATTGAGTTTAGAAAATTACAAATATTAGAAACAGTTGATTATATTTGTATGCCAAAGATATGTGTGGTCTTCTACCCATGTGAACTATTTTCCTAGTTTGCTCTTCCTATCTATATAAACTATTTTCCTTATGGAAGAGAAACTAGATAAGAGATGAAACCTTTGTAATGTTACCCCACTGGTGATTGACATTGTGTTTCATCACTGCAATTCTAAATTGTAGACTAGACAAGAGCATTCTTCAGGAGACTATCTGCCATGGTATTCAACAACACACTCTTTGCCTTTCACTGATTCCTTGGCAGCTCACTGATCACAATACAAATAAAGCCCATGGATGTTGAGTCGATTCCGATTCATAGCAGCCTGTCGGGCAGGACTACCCCATTGGGTTTCCAAGGCTGTCAACTTCATGAGCAGACTGCGCCATCTTTCGTCTGTACAGTGGATGGTAGGTCAACCATCGGCTTTCAGTTCGCAGCCGAGCACTTAACCACTGTATCACCAAGGCTCCTTGGATACAGGTCCAATTTCCCATCAATTCAACTTTCCATGAGCTCAAGCCAAGAGGAACTTGTGCTGTTGAAAACGGACCAACAAGCTCATGTTTATAACATCCATGAGCAGTTTGGCAAACCCACCCAAACATGCTGTTCAGCTTATTAAAAGAAGAGGTTGCAAGTATCTGTATACTTACTCAATATACTCCCTTTTGTTTTCATTTGTTACCATTATTTCTGACCCATTGGGCTTCAGATCCACTTGGTATGTCTGTAATTACAAAGATAAAACACCAAAGATCATCATGAAGTTATATTGCATATTAAGGAATAACATCTTAGTTATAGAAGGGAGATAAACAAGATTTATTCAGAAATCTCTCCCAGCAAATGGGCTCTCTGTATACCAGAACATCTAATGAGGTTTTTAAATTGTGAAGAGGTAACCTATTTAAAGACGTTATCACTAAAGGCAAATTGTTTTATGGTTATTTATGAATTTTAATTATAAGCAACAATGGAGAATAGCAACATTTTTTTCTTTTCATCTGCTACGCATTTCTCAAGAAATTAATTAGCTTGGCAGAAGACAGACAGGGAACATTCATCAAGACTATAGAGACCCATGTTGTAATAATGCATTTTGTTTACGAAATTAAATTTTATAGGGATAAAAACAATGCATAGAATTTATTTCCAAGTCGCAACAGCACCACCAGGCCCTTGCTCTGCCCCTCATCCCCCTTCTTTTCCTCCCCCCACCGCTTTCCAGTCTCTGTCTCCCCATGAGTGTTATTATGTAAACCAGGTCTGAACTGACTCCTGCTCATGGCAGCCCCATCTGTGCCTGAGTTCTGCTCCCTAGGGTTTTCACTGGCTGATTTTTTAGAAGTAGACTGCCAGACCTTTCTTTTGAGGTGCCTCTGGCTAACTGTTCAATAATCCAACCAGGGTTTTCCCATCTTTTTTTAAATTACTACTCCCTAAAGGAGCTCTGGTAGCGTAGTGGTTACAAATCGGGCTGCGAACCTTAAGGCCAGCAGTTCGAAATGACCAGCCACTTCGCGGGAGAAAGATGAGGCCTTCTGCTCCCATAAAGATTTACAGCCTCGGAAACCCTGTACAGGGTCGCTATGGGTCGGAACTGACTGGACGGCACTTAACAACAACAAATGGAGTCTAGGTGTGGAGTCCTGGTGTGGTGCTGTGGGCTAATGAGCCACACTGCAAAGCTGTTTGAACTGCAAGGTCGGCAGTTCAAGCTTACCAGCTGTTCCTCAGAAACCCTATACAGGGTGGCTATGGGTCGGAACCAACTCGGCGGCACTTAACAACAACAACAACATTGAGCCTAGGACTCCTGGTGTGGCACTGTGATCGGCAATGGACTGAGAACCACAGGTCGGCACTTCAACCCTACCAGCGGCACACACTTCAGAAAGAAACCCTATACAGGGTTGCTATGAGTCGGAAGCGACTCAGCAGTACTGAAGAACAACAATGGAACCTAAGATAAGACCTGGCATGGTTCTGTAGGATCAGCACTGAACTGCAAGGTTGGTGGTTCAAGCTCACCGGCTGTTCCTGGGACACTCTAGATAAGGTTGTTATGAGTCGAACCAATTCGATAATACTTAAAAACAACAACAACATGGAACCTATGGTGTTTGGGTGTCGAGCTGTAAGGTAAGCACTGGACTGCTAACCACAAGGTTGGTGGCTCATTCTACCAGCTGCTCCCTAGAAACCCTGCACAGGTACACTATGAGTTGGAACCAACTTGATGTCATTTAACAACATGGAAAACTAGTGGTCACTCCCCACCCCCAATTGTTTCCCTCCATGACATTTTAACAAACAGGTCCACTGTGTACATGTGGGGTATGTGCACTAGGGCCCTTTGTTACGCCTAGTCCATGGTGTAGTAGTCTATAAAATGTTCAGCAGAGCACTTAAGAAATAACCCTCACTAGTTGCAATGCAAGTATAAGAGTCTATCACTGTTTTATTTTTTTGCCTCCAAAGAACCAATTTTCATCCCTTTGGGGACAATGTCACCCTGGTACACATGTACACACTAACTTAGCCCATGCCTGGTTCCAGGGACATTTTCTTGCAGGGTTTCTGCCACCTCTTCCCTTCCGTTAAGTACAAGTTCTTGGAAGTTCACTAAAAAAAACACCTTTTCCAAACCATCAGCTCAGATCCTGCTTTACTGAACCACAAAGCAAGAGTCTTTACAAAGCCAAGGGGATGCTAGTGATGCCAACGCCTAACACGTTCAGCTGCTAAGCAGAAGCGTGGGGGTTTGCGTGTACCCAAAAGCACCTTGAGAGAAAGTCCTGGTGATCTATGTCTGCTGTGAACAGGAGTTGATCCACCACAGTTTATTGATTTGGGCTTCACTTAATTCTAATGCCAAGGCACCAATGAACAGTCACATTTGGATTTGATTGAGACTAGAAGTAGCTTCTGAAGTTCATAGATCCTGCGCTTGTCACAAGCCAAAGGTTTGTGGCCACCCCTGCGTGGACCAAGTCCATTGGCGCCATTTTCCCAAAAGCCTGTGCTCATGTCATGCTCTGTCACACTTTGGTCATGTTCACAATATTTCAAACATGTTCATAATGCTGCTACTGCACATTTCACAGACTACAGTGTAGTGTGAACACAACTTTTACATGCACTGTTGTTGTGAAGTACTGGTGAGTCGGTGCTAACTCACAGCGATCCTGTATATAGGGTTATTGAGGCTGTAAATCTATGTGGGAACAGAGCAGCTGGGTGGTGGCCTCAAACCACTGACCTTGTGTTTTGCAGTCCAGTGTTCATCATACAGAGAGGCACTGCTTCATGATGATTGATAAGTGCCACTGAGCTGGTTCTGACTCACAGTGAACCTGGAGGGGCTGGTGGGTTTGAACCACTGACCTTGATGTTAGCAGTCCAGGGCTTATCTTACAATGCCACACCAGGATTCCATATACTTTTGATATCACTGAAGCAACAGGTATGTCACCATTATATTTTCTATATGGCAAGCCTTAAGGCATGCTTTACGATCTAATTAATTTCCAGACCATGAATGTTTGGTCTGAGACACAGGAAATTCCTCTCGGCTTTTGCAAAAGGGCAAGTACCAGGGTCCTAAAATACCTTGAGAATACAGGCATACCTCAGAAATATTGCACATTAATTTCAGACCACCGCAACAAAGTAAGTGGCATGATTGTTTTTTGTTTTCCTGGTGCCTTTAGAAGTCCTGGTGTGGCACTGTGGGTTAATGCGCTGGACTGCAAAGCTGTTAATGCGCTGGACTGCAAGGTTGGCAGTTCAAGCTCACCAGCTGCTCCTTGGAAACCCTATACAGTGTCGCTATGGGTCGGAATCGACTCGAAGGCACTTAACAACAACAACCTAGAAGTATATTTAAGGAGCTATGGTAGCGTAGTGGTTACAAATCGGGCTGCTAACCTCACAGTCAGCAGTTCGAAACTACCAGCTGTACTGCGGGTGAAAGATGAGGCTTTCTGTTCCTGTAAAGAGTTCCAGCCTCAGAAACCCTGTACAGGGTCACTATGAGTCAGAACCGACTCCACAGCACATAACAACATCAACAACAACAAGAGAAGTATATTTACAGTATACTGTGGTGCTTGGTAGGCATTATGAAAAAGTTTGAAATATTGTGACAAGGACCAAAATGTGATACAGACACACAAAGTAATAAGCACATGCTGTTGGAAAATGGCAGTGGTAGACTTCTTTCACGCAGGGTTAGCACAAACTTTCCATTTGTAAAAAACACACCATCTGTGAAGCGCAATGGAGTGTGTCATGCCTATGCTCCCAAGCATATCACTGTTGTGTGTGTGTGTGTGTGTGTGGTGACAGGGTCGGAAGATGAATCAAAGGTTTCAGACAGAAGACAAACACATCCTACAGACTCTTAGGATAATGATGAAAATTCTAGGCAGGCAACTGTGTCTTTAAAATTGACCATGGTTGATTGGCCCAGCCTTGATGGTAGGGTGGGCACAACACAGTAACAGCCTAGGAGTCTGAGCCCCACAGAGGACCACTGATCATGACAACACAACACAAAGAAGAGGGAAAGGCAAGCCTCCCACTTCCCTTCCCCTGCACCCTACTTCTGGTCACAGAGCCCACAGCACCTGCTTTTAGAGTAACTTAATTCTAATGCCAAGGCACCAAAGAACAATCACATTTGGATTTGATTGAGACTAGAAGTAGCTTCTGAAATTCATGTCCCGTAGACCTTTGAGAATTACTCTAAGTTGGTGCTGGAAGAGAAGAAGGGTTGTAGTTGGCCCTTGGCTGCCTGACGTGACAATAAGATATTAAGTGATCCAACAGATAATGAAAATCTAGAACTCCTGATTGCTGTTGTTGTTGAGTGCTGTGAAGTCACTTCTGACTCACAATGACCCTGTATAGGTTTCTGAGGCTTCCCAACATGATAACAAGGTATAGCTCCAACAGATGGTAATGAACACCTAAAACTACAGGAGTCCTGGTGTGGCGATGTTGGGTCAGCACTGGACTTCAAGGTCGGTTTGAACCTGAAGGTTGGCGGTTTAAGCTCACCAGCAGCTCTTTGCAAACCCTATACAGGATGACTGTGAGTCAGAATTGACTTGGCGGCACTTAAACAACAACAACAAAATTGCTGGTAGTTGTTTTTAACTGTTGGGGAAACCCTGCCACAGCCTGCGACAAAGAAAATGGTCTTGAATGGCAGGGAGCTCTCAGGGTTATCCACACGGGGCTGCCCACGTACCTGCCCAAAGTTCTCCTCATGTGCACACACGTACCTGCCCAAAGTTCTCTTCATCTATACAGAACATGAGGTCCAGCTCAGTGGGGTCATTTTCTAAGATCCACTTCAAAGAGTTGTAATATTCACTGTCCTACAGAATTGACACAGAAATTAAAAATAAACCTCCTCCTCACCAACAAATACAAACTCATTTGACTTAAATAATTAAATCCTTCTAATGTAACTCCCATTCAGAATGTTCAAAAATTGCCAGGACTCATTAACGTAGTGTTTCCCAGCTCCACCCCAAACCGACTTTCTCTTTCAATTTAAAATGGAAATGGAAAAAGAATGTTTGGGGAGCATTGGGTTTGAAGCTGAATTCTGGAGATGGTGAGCTGCCCCCTTATGTACTGATCTCTAATACTACCCATCTTTAAAGAAATGAAGTCCCGGTGCACGCCTCAGCCTGGAGGGACCCTGAAAGCAGGTGCTGAATGTAGTCAGTAAGTCACAAAAGGGCAACTCTTAAAGGATCTTATTTCTCCAAAACAGGCAATTGCATACAGAAACCAAAGCTTACTCATGGTGACCAGGGCTGTGAGGGAGGGGCGAGGGGATGTCATTGCTTGGAGAGCCTGAGTTTCTGTTAATGGTGGTGGGATCATTCAGAAATGTGGTGGGATCATGAGGAATGTAATCAACGTCACTAAATTTTACATGTAGAAACAGCTGAATTAGAAAACATTTTGGTATGTACATTTCACCTCAATAAACAAACAAGGAAACAAAAACTTCCCATCTTTTAAGTGACAATATCAGAGGGAAAATGAAGGGAGGCTGTTCTAGATCGTTAAATACCAGCGGTTTGAAGTCACGTTCCTTCCTGTCTCTATTGCTCTCTGCAAGTGGACTGAGGCACACAGTTGATTCTGGCTCATGGCAGCCAAAGAGCACAGATCAGAACAGTCCCATAGGGTTTCTGAGGGGGCAAATCCTTAGGGAAACCCACAGCTACATCGTCTTCTGTGGAGCAGCTGGTGAGTTCGAACTGCTGAACTTCTGGTTAGTAACTGAATGTCACCGGGGCCCTGCCCCTATCTCAGAAGCTCGGATCAGGTGCCGTGAGAGTGCTCAGGCACAAGGACTTAGCTACTGGGGAAAACTCTATCAAACTGACTTAGAATGTAAGAGAAATCTGTGCGTTGTTAGGGTCCTCATTACGCAGCAATAAAAGCGGATGGCACAGATAAAGGGCCAAAGCTGAACAGACATTGAAGGCAAACCCATCCATAACTGGAAAATCAACAGAGTGCATTCAGAACCCAGCTACCATCCTCCCTCCTTCCAGGTGGACACCCAGTGGGCAGCGCTCGTGAGGGTCCAGTATCCAGCTCCTGTGTCCAGTCCAAGTCATAAGAGACCCCGCTGGCATCATAGCAAGGCTGAGGGTCTGCAGAGGCTTTCCGCATATGCCCCCAAAGACAAAGACGCTTCCCTCCAATGGTCCCCTAGGGAGTGTCGGCACATATAGTCCTGAGGCAGATGTGGGGGAAGCAAGTAAGTTAAAAGACAAACAAGCACAAAGCACTTCGTGAGAAGAGCTCTAATTTTTGTCTTTATAGAAAATTTGTTCACCTCTAAATGTCTGTCTAGGTAAAGTGAATAACCGTAACATGAAAACTCAAATGACTTCTCCAGTTTCTAACTCTTCTTCCTCCTACACTGTCAAACCAGGAGCTCCACAGTGTCTCGGGTACTGTGTAATTACTCTCCCCTTTGTCTGCTACTCTAGCCTTTGGCCTGTGTGCCGTATTGTGAGCTCAGAAGACAGAGGGGAAGCGATGACTCTGGAATCACTCCGCATCTGCTGTCTTGGATGGATGCACAGGCTACTTCAAACACGTCTGATTCCTGGGAAGGCAGTGATGATTACTATGATTGGGTGCACCTGTCCTAAAATACTATGCTTCTACAAGATAGGCACAGTGATTAGCTTATTACAAGAATTAGGCTGATAATTGACTTGTTAAAGCAAATATTCCCTGTTGCATCATACTGAGTAACCAACACCCACAGCTATAAATGCTGTTTCAGATATTCGTTCTGATGAGAATGTCCAGCGGGGGGAGGATCGGTAACACTCACCACGGATTCCATGTCATTCAGTGTAATCTGCTTCCCCAGCATCATTTTGTAAAATGGTCTAATGAAGAAGCCTAAAACAGGATGAACACTAGGTTTAGTTTCAAATCTTTGACGCTGATGGGTAGCAGAGCATGAAGTAAAAATATAACCTCCTTTAAAGTGGGTGAAAGCCCATGACAGATCAGGGATCAGGGAATCCCTTTCATGATGGATAAGTGAATGAACAGGGTCTGGTCGGGGGTTGAGGGTTAAGTAATAAAGAGAGCAGATGTACTAATGGAGGTGAGACTAGCTGCTAGGGGTCCAACAGGCTCATGGGCGGTGACAACGACAAGCTGGAGTTTGTCATGCAAATATGACAGGTGAACTGCGGTAAATACTGGAATACTGAGCAGATAAACAAGCCCATGAACTGGCCAGTGGCTTGACAGGATAGATGGGGGAAGAGAGGCCAGAGACAGGACTGGACCTGCACAGCTTCCATGTGGGCCCAGAGTTTGGACTGCTCCCTGAGAAAGCTAGATGGAAACTCCACTGTATCTCAGTGTTATTGCTCAGGCAGTGATGGGAGAAAGGACAAGAAAAGGGCAGGTTGGTAATGATCTACAAGACTTGTATGATCTTCCAGGTGAGAGAGAGGAAGGCAGAAAGGATGAATCTACCTGTCGCCTCATAGGAACTGCCAGTTCCCTTGCCCGAAGACAAAGCATCATGTTCCTGTCACACTTGATGCTGAGCCAGATCTAAATCCTCAGGCTCACTCACCCTTCACTCTCATCCCAGTCCTGTTTCTAATCAGTCAGCACTTCCTGACTCCCATGGTGCAGTGCACACTGACTAAACACCTCTGGTGCCTGTTGCTCTCAGGGGCTGTGGCACTGGTTCCAACTCATAGCAACACTATGCACAACAGAACGAAGCACTGCCCAGTTCTGCGCCAGTCTCTCAACTGTTGGTTGCCATGTTTGAGCCATTGTTGAAGTCACTGTGTCAACTGATCTCATTGAAGGTCTTTCTCTTTTTGGCAAACCCTCTACTTTTCCAGGCAAGATGGCTTTCTCCAGGGACTGGTCCCTCCTGATAACATGTACAAAATATGTGAGACAAAGTCTTGCCATTTTGCTTCTAAGGAGCCGTCTGGCTGCACGTCTTCCCAGACAGATTTGTTCGTTCCTCTAGCAGTTCTTGGTAAATTCAATGTTCTTTGCCAACACCATAATTCAAATGCGCCAGTTCTTCTTTGGTCTTCCTTACATATTGTCCAGATTCCCCTTGCAAATGAGGTGATTAACAATCTCATGACTTGGCTCAGGCACCCCTTAGTCTTTAAAGAGGTATCTTGGATTTTTACACCACTTTGAAGAGGTCTTCTGTAGGTTTGCCCAATGCAGTATGTCATTTGATTTCTCTACTGCAGGCTTCCAAGGGCACTCAATGTGGAGCCAAGTAGAATGAAATCCTTCACAATTTCTATCTTTTCTGTGCTAACTGTGATGCTGTTGCTCATTGGTCTAGTTGTGCATTTTTGCTTTTTTACACTGTTGTATAACCCAAGCTGAAAGCTGTTGTCTTTCATCTTCATTAGTAAGTATTTCAAGCCCTCTTTGCTTTCAGCAAAGAAAGGTTGTGCCGTTTACATATCACAGGTTGTTAGGAAGTCTTCCTACAATAATCTTGATGTCAGGCTCTCCTTCATATAGTACAGCTTCTTGGATTGTCTGCTCAGTACACAGATTGACTAAGTATGGTTAAAGGTTTACAACTTTGACATGCACTTTTCCTGACTTTGTACCAGGCAGTATCCCTTTACTCTATTTAAATGCTTTCCTCTTGGTTTATACACAGGTTCTGCATGAGCATAGAAAGGTGGTCTGGAATTTCCACTCTCTGCAATGTCAGCTACTATTTGCTGTGGCACAGTTGAATGTCTTTTCATAGTCAATAAAATACAGGTCTTTATATCGTTCTCTAAGGAGCTCTGGTAGCGTAGTGGTTACGAATTGGGCTGGGAGCCGCAAGGTCAGCAGTGAGAAACTACCAGCTGTTCCGTGGGAGAAAGATGAGGTTTTCTGCTCCCGTAAATATTTACAGCCTTGGAAACCCTGCACAGGGTTGCTATGAATCGGAACCGACTCCACAGCACATAACAACAACAACAACAACAACATCGTTCTCTGCTTTTAGCCAGAATGACACCCATCTGGTATCAGCAGTGACAGCCTTCATTCCACGTCCTCTTCTGAATCTGGCTTGAATTTTCGGCATGTCAATCATTTTTTTTATTATTTTCAGCAAAAGTTTACTAGCATGTGATTATCAGTGGTACTGTTCATTAATTTCCTATTCCAATGGGCCACCTTTCTTTCTGGAATGGGCACAAATATAGATCTCTTCCAGTTGGATGGCCAGGTAGCTGTTTTACAAATTTGTTGGCACAGGCAAGTGAGCACTTCTAGTATTAAATTTGTTTGCTGAAACATCTCAGTTGGTATTCTGTCAATTCCTGGGGTCTTGCTTTCGTCATTGCCTTCAGCGCCACTTCCAACTTCTTCCTTCAATATCATTGGTTCTTGAGCATATGATGCCTCCTGAACTGGCTGAACGTTGACCAATGCTTTTTGGTACCATGATTCTGTGTACTCCTAGTATCTTCTTTTGATGCTTCGTTCAACATTTTGCCTATATTGTTGTTGTTAAGAGCTGTGGAGTTGGTTCTGACTCACAGAGAGACTGTAAAGTGTTTCCAAGGAGCAGCTGGTCAGTTTGAAATGCTGACCTTGTGGTTAGCAGTCCAGTGCTTATCCACCACGCCCACAGAATCCTTCAATATTATAACTTGAGGCTTGATTTTTTTCTTTCGTTCTTTCAGAATGGAAAATCCTTTTGTGGTTTTCTAGCTCCAGGTGTTTGCACGTTTCATTATAATGTTTGATTCTGTCTTCTTGAATTGCCCTTCAAAATCAAGTGTCTCTTGAAATTCAGTGTGTAGGTAGGTAAAAAGGATGAAGCCACAGTGGCAGATGTGTAGACAGTACACACTCAGAATACACAGTAGACAGTGCTGACCACACATATCTGTGAGCACCTTGGTCTTTAACGGTACAATTCCTGGACAGCACCAGTGTTTCCTTTTGCCTGGACCCTCTGGCTCCCCATTTGGCCTGTTGCATCCATCACTCCCTCCACGGAGCCTAACTTGGGGCCAGTCCTCTCTCGCCTGTGGTTATCAAGACTTGCCTCCTTCAGGGCGTGGCTGGTCCAAACAAAACATCCTTAACTTTTGACTCAGATCTGCTTTTCCTTTGAATATCTGTGTATAGCGCTCTGCTTGGACTCTATAACTGTGATCCTTACCACATTCCCCTGCAGCAGCAACCAACACTGTCTTTTCATTTTGCAGAAGATGAGAAGCTGACCTGCTTCTAAGAAGGGTGAAGTGAATTTCAATAGTCTGAAATAGTCTAGTGCATGACTCCCACGTTGAGAAAGAAAATGTTTCTTTTCTATTTCCCTCCTTCCCTCCATTCCCTACCTGCCTACCTGTCAAATGTAATTACCTTCTAATCAGAAGAAACATTTACTTCTGCCACCAAAAAAGAAAACACTGAAACCAGTGATTAAAATCAGCTAGCAATTAACAGTAGAACTATATTAAAGGAAAAGCACAGAGGGTGCATATCAATTATTCATTGGAGTAGTCAAGGCCCCATAAATGCCGTGAACACAATGACCACTCTCCTGGAAATCATTCCACCTAGTGAGACTACAAATGCCAACCTCAAGTCTCATGCCCCATCCCCCACTTCCCATCACTTCACCCCCAAATTCTTCAGAAAGATTTGATTCTCTTTTCTCATGGATGAGTTCTGTAGTGTTCTCTTAACTACACTGAAAAGACCAGATGCATAAGCAGTCTTGATGACGAACCCACAGATCAGTCAAATAGGGGGCCTGCCTTCTACCATCCAAGATCCCTTAAAGTCCACCGTGACACGTGTGTTGTAAACAAGAGTCAGGCTCTTCTGCCCCCACAATGAGCCAAGGGAGAAGGTTCTGGCTGAGTCACAACACTGGTTTGACATTATTTACAGTCTTTTCACATTAAAAACTAATTTGGGGACAAATGGAGCAATGGCAGGATACTGGAAGGATTAGATCATTTTAATTAACTTTTCAATTAGTGTTTCCATCTGTCACTAACTCTAGCTGCTGCACAAGGAAAGTTATTCTGAAAAACACCGAAAGTGCAGAAATACAAAATGTTCTGTACTTTAAACTTAAGGTTCAAAAATTATCTAAAAAACCCTTTTTCTATAAATCTCTGTAGGCACCATATCTGCAGTATCCAAATTAAGATGTTATCAGGATAAAGACTTCCATTAAGGACAAAACATAACAATAATTTATGGACTTACAAAGAACCCGTGACGCCTCTGATTAAAATCTATGTCATGAGAGATAAGTTCCCTAATGGAAAACCACAAGGCACACTGTCCTATTTTTGTGACTTCAAGACATGACAGCAACTTACCATCTAAGAGTTTTCCATGAAATACTGCCAGACCAGCAACCCTCCCAATAAAAGTGAAGTAGGATAAATGGTCTTCATTACAGAGGCCAGAATTGGGATTGATCTGAAGTGTATAGTTGTCTCTATGGGGGAGGGAGAGAGAGAGAAGATATGGCCAATTCAACTCTTAAATATGAAGTCAAGAATCTGCGTTTGTCTTTGCCACCTGCCACCCAGTTTTTATAGAGCACTTGCATAAAGGAAAAGGTCTAGATTGGAGGATATGCCTTATTGTTCATTAGTTATGTCTATGACCAGTAATGAGGTCTAATAAACCTAATAAGTATGCCCTATAGACCCAGTCAAAGCATAACCAAATGTTGATATTTGACCTACAAAAATGTCACTTTCCTATATAGATTGACCAACATCTGAAGATAAGAAATTGTAAATCAAACGGGTTGCACAGGAATTCCCAATCAAGTAATGAAGGACTCCTGGGAAAAGCTCTTGGGTTGGGGATATTAAGATGTTTTCCTACTGGATCAATCCATACTCTATGGAAGCACCACACTACCCAGAGAGGGTCTCCAGGGAAATGGAAAACCTCTAAATGTTTACACTTGCCCTTCTCTGGTGTCACAATCATGAGGACCGGTGGTGTTAAGCTGGGTCCTCCAGATGTGGCTAAGAGGTGAAGACCTCCCTTCCCCAACATCCATGTCAGTGGTTTCATCCATTTCCCATAGTGGGCTTTCTTGTAACTCACAGCTATAACAACAGTGAACAACTGAGTGATTCTTGGATGGAGTATTAAGAGAAGGAGGCATTGAGGCTGCCTTCCAAACAAGTCCTGAGGTCCCAAGTATTGTGGTAAATAAAAGAAGCCTGTATCCCCTGAGAGCTCAGAGTCAGATCGATGTGAATGCCCTCCAGCAAAGTCAACAACTATTCCACAGGGGGCCCAGATCCAGCCGAAGCCTTTGAGAGCGACTGAGTCTGCCTCAGTTTCCATTCTTGACATCAATGGGATCCTGATGCAAGAAAGGAACTTAGTTCTTCTTCTAAAGGTCCAGGGTGTGATTCTGAAGCAGGGTCGCCAAAGTCATCATCATTTAAAGACTATGAGTTCAGAAACTATCCTTGTTCATAAAATGATACCTTTTTCTAAATTTTGACACAAATTCCCCACTTGAATTAACTCATTACAGATGAAAATTGCCTCTCGTTCCTTACCATAATTTCCTGGGCACATTTTCAATTTCAATTACATGAACCCAACAGACTAGAGAAGAATCAATTATCTGTGTTCCTGGAGTCCATTATTTTGCTGAGCAGTCAGAACCCATTCGAGATGTACAGGGGGCCAGTGTGGCGGTGGTATTGAAATTAGCAGCATTAATTAATCTCAAACTAGTGAGCTACTTGTTCTTTCGTTTAAGAATTAACCAACTTCAGTTGCGGAACATACTGGAAAGGTACTGTAGACACTTACGTTGCAGAGTACTCAAAGAGACCGTAGTAGGGATTGAACATCTCCTTGGATAGTAAGAAGAACCATTCTCTGGCCACGCCTCCATAGTCAAGACCTTTCTCTGATTCAAATTCAATCCACAGTCTGGCTTTTAGGACATCTGGTCTCTTCACAGACATGATTCTCCTATATGACTCTTCAAATATGTTATTTCTGTGAAGTTTCATTTCAAATCTATTCGGAATATCAGCCTACATGAAAGAAAGAACAGCACACCATCAGACAGTGACTCTACACCTTTATTTCCTAACAGAAAAATACAACAAAGGGAGAAATGATGGCAGTCTTTAAATAATCAGTGACAAATGGCTCCGACTGTGGGCCCTCCTCCTCCATGGGTTGTTTCTTGCACAGATGGAAAACCTGACTCTGTCGAGATGGGACACAGCACGCCAGCTGTTGTTCTGGCTGCGTCTGTACCCTGTGCTGCAGAAAGGCTGGCTGGGGAGTGGGACACTGTCCTCAAATGTGGGGTACCCATCCGGTCAGTTCTACATGTTGCTCAGACAAGAGAGGGACTTCAGCTCCACCAATCAAAATGCATATATAACCCTTAGCTAACCAGGCTGAGAAGAAGCCTCCTGGGGTGCAATGGCTAATAAGGTGGTCAGGTAGCTGAAAGTTATTCTGAAGCAAGTACCCCACTCAAAAGCTCTGTGAAGAGTTTGGGGTGAAGGGACACGGGAGTACAAAATGTTAACATTTTAATTTCAGATACTGTCTGCAAAACTCAGCTAGATTTTCTCAGGTATAAACTGCCAGTGAGACTTTTAATCAGAAAATCACACTTCATCCTAATCCTGTCAAACACGAGTATTATTTAATCTTCTAAATTCACAGGGAAGGACTTGAACATTTTTCTAACATGGGTCCAGGCTTTATTTGGAGGAAACCATAAATAATTAGCTAGGCTTCTCCAGATTTTTTTTTTTTCTTGACTAAAAACTGAATTGAATTGTTTTATAGCCCATCAAAATCATGTCTTTATTTATTTTTAATGTATCAGATAAGAAATTACCAGCCATGAGTTGCCATTTCTGTTAAGAAGAAAGTTCACAGGAAGATCCTGGTGGATCAAAGGGCAGTGAAATCAGGAAGGAAAGTTTTTAGTTTACAAATAAAAGTGGCAAACACTTTGCTCTCCCTGAGGTAACTTTGGCGGACACAATAAATGATGAAGACATTTTTGGAAAACATGAATACTCACAGGTTTCTTTAATTTTTTCCTAAAGTAGTCATATTTCTGCTTAAATTCCCGGGAGTATGGAACAGCCTGGAAGAGAAGTTTATAGATATAAAAAATGCAAACTATACGCTTGAGATTTTCCACAGACTGAGCCAACACACCAAGTAGCTTAGGCTTCATCAACCTTAATTTCTCACTCTCCATACTGTCTGTGGGCAATGTTTATACATGCACATAGGAGAGTCCTAGGACTCCGTGGGACTAGTCAGGACGGGAAGGGGCTGTCACTCCTGAAAACAACTACACTGATATTCAAGAAAGTGCTCACGCAGGCATATACCAAAGGACTGGAAATAGGGACTCAATACAGATACCTGGAGACCAATGTTCACTGCAGCAGGAGGGAGCGTGTTTGGTTGATGTAAGAACAGTGATGGGGGATTCAGCGGAAGAAACAATTTCCTTTCATCGTATAACCATGCCGGCTCCAAGCAAACCCAACCCACTGTCAAACCCAACCCGATTCTGACTCAAAAAAGGTTTCTATAAATCTTAACAGGAGCAGCCAGTCTCATCTTTCTCCCATGGAACTGCTGGTGTTTGGCACTGCCGACCTTGCTGTTAGCAGTCTGATGCTTATCTTTTAGCACCACAACCAAGACTCCAGCCCTAAAAAACTCAAACTCTAGGGCACAATATTACAACCACTCTGTGAACGAACCTAGGAGACCTCTGGTTAAGTGCTCATGCTTAGCTGAAGGGCTGGAGGTTTGGACCCACCAAGTGCTCCATGGGAAAAAGATGCGGCAGTCTGTGTTCAAAGATTTACAGCCTTGGAAATCCTATGGGACAGTTGTACTCTTTCCTATAGGCTCGCCCTGTGTTTTCATTGGCTGAATGATAATGGGTGTGCTGGATGACAGACCCTCTCTCCTCTCCACTAGGAGTTTCTTCACAGTCAAACACAAGAATTTGAACTGAAATTTTTTCTCTTTCATTTCTTAGAGTCTTGTATTTATTTCTCCTGACAATGTTGAAAAAATGCTTAAACATTTATCACTGTGTTTACAGATCCAATTGTCTTAAATGACAAACTTCTCAAGGAACATATTTCTGAAGGTTGTCCCCCGTCTGTGACAACCGTCCCCCCTCGCTTGATTTGCGATCTGCTGAGTGCGGACAAGATGTGGGTGGGACAAGCAGATGCTGAGATATTTCTGACCTCTTTTCTGAGGAAGGACGTATGCAAGTTGAAAACTCATTATCCTACTCCAGTTCTCATCTTTTCTCCCTGGAGGTAGTTCTTAGGAAGGAATAAGAAAAGCAGGCTTTTATTACGCTTCACCTAAAAGGGTTCCACAGCCACTTACAGAACAAACATGAGAGAGCAGAGGCTCGGCTGAGAACGAGTGACACATATTCGATTATCCATGTATCGAATCCACCAAGTGACTTGTCCTCTCTTGAAAACCTGGCATTACTTTCTTGTATACAACTGAACTTGTAAAATAAGGCTACTGGGGAAATCAAAATTATGTCTGTTAATTAAAGTTCTTTGTTGTTATTATTAAGTGCTGTCTAGAAGGATATCATGTTTGGTAAGGTGGAGGGTCAGAGAAAAAGAGGTGGCAGCATCGATGGACTCAAGTGTGGCAACAGTGGTGAGGTTGGCCCGGGATCGGGCAGTGTTCCGTTCTGCTGTGCAGAAGGTTGCTATGAGTCGGTACTGACTCGACGGCACCTAACAACAACAATCAATTCCAACTCATAGTGACTCTGTATAGGGTGTCTGAGGAACACCTGGTGAGCTAAAACCACTGACCTTGAGGTTCAAACTGACATTGCAGTCCAGCATATTAACCCGCAGCACCACACCAGGATTCCAAAAGCTCTTTAGCTTTGTATTAAATGTACTTTTTGGGAAGGTGGGGTTGTACAAAATGAAAACCAGATTTTATTGTCCAAGTTGGCACTAAAGGTCTTCACGCCTGTCCTGATGCTCTCACGGCAGGGCTCATGCTGATGTGGAGAGAGGTCATACCAGCTTACCCGGGGCTCCTGCCCTGGTCTGACTTGCTGGGACTTTCGGCCACACAATTAGCTTGTCTGAGTCACTGAAAAATTGGTGATAACAGCATCTGCCCTGGCTTCCTTAGGGGGCTGTGGAGAACTTCAAATGAGCTGATATAAAGTTCTTGGGAAAGTACAAAGTGTTACCAAACAGGAGGTCATGTTCGTGACAGCAATATGTACATGCACTCTTCAGAATGCTTGTTTGTTACATAAAGAACATCGCTCTACAGAGCTGCCAGAGAAGGTCTCCTCTCCCTACAAGTGTAAAAATGATGTAGCAACCCGTAGCTAATATTTCCGAAGCAGAAGAGATCAGCGTTAAAGAAATAAGATACGCGGGAGAAAGATGAGGCTGTCTCTTCCTGTAAAGATTTAATGTCTCAGGAACCCTATGGAGGATTGCTATGAGTCCGAAGAGACTCACTCCATGGCAGTGGGTCTGGCTTTGATTTGTTGGGTCTAGATAGGACCTTATGGGTCTGGGCTTTCATCCTCCCAGGAGGACAGAGAACTTGGCTCATAGTCTCTGTGGTGGGAATCCAGGAAAGAGTTCCATGTTCAACATCTAACATTTGAAAAGATGACAAACAGTTCTATTGACCACCCCAGGAATGTTACAAGGAAATTTACCTTCTGTCCAAGACCATAAGTGTGTGTGTGTGTTTTATTTAAACATAAATAAAAATTATGTTTAAAATTTCCTCCTGTCCTTTCATATCCAAAGGACAGGAGGGAATTTTAAACATTAATTTATCCCACTCTTAATAAAGGAGAGAAGAAAATGTTTATTTCTGCTACCATTAGCTCTTTTAATAACTGAGCACTCCATGCAAAGGTATATGCTTCAGTACCTCATCTGGAGGGAGCAGAGGGGAGTACTATTACACAGTGTGATTCCACCTATCCCCAGGTGGATTAATAGTATCATACACGAAAAGCATTCTCAGACACAACCAGGTTATTATACTGAAGAGCATACTGACCGGACCAGTAATAGCTGGGTTCTGCAGTCTGGGGTCTTCCCACTGAGTAATTTTGCTATCTGAAAATTAATTAAAAACAAAAATCAGCACATTAGTCAGACATTCTATGGATAACAAAAAATGGTTTGGATTCTTCAAAATCTGCCCAGGTGTCACTAAGTTCTACCCCCCACCCCCAAATAAGGTAACAATGTATTATTTTAGGGTTAGAAATAACTTTTGTACTCTCCGCAGCCAACCCTTTGCATTTTGCTTAGTTTAAAAAACAACAACAAAGTGCACACCAAAAGAAAACCTATTCACACTGGTGCTGGCAGGCAGCCTGCCAAAATTTCCATTACAAACCCCTGTTCTTTCAAGGATTTATAACTTGAACTTGTTTTACATTACACTGGAGAAAGAAAGGGAAAAAGGCATAAAAAGACTTACTCCCTCCAAAAGGTTCACAAAACACACACAAAATCTTCCTCATTTTGAATGCTTTGTCCTTCACTTCTTGAGCTGAAAACTGCTGTTTTTTTCCAATCAAGAGTCCTACATCCACCACACGGGCACAACGCGATGTGTGTCACTCATACACACACCAAATAAAGGCATGAGAAGCCTTAACCCCCAAGAAAGGTTCACAGGCTCTTTTCTCTTTACAAATGCTCTGTCCCTCACTTCTACCTCTGAAAACCACTTTTTTTATTTTCAGTCAAGAATCCCACATGCATCACATGGACACTCCATTGTGTGCATCACTCATACACACGGAAACAAAAGGAAGTTTCCAAAAAATGAGACTTCGATTATAGCAAAGGAAGATTCTAGAGAAAGGTTTCCCTTGTGATCAAGCTGGCTAGAGGTGGTTTTCTGTCTCTCCTAAATGAGTCTGTGTCACCTAGAAGGTTCCACATTACCTACAGACAGTGGTGCAGATGATGACAGAACAAGAGCTGCCGGGGCTCACTTGGGGCTGTGAATGTGCAGAAAGAGAGCCCATGGACTCCTCTATCTGTGTGGGGGAGTGGAAGGGAGGGAAAAAGAAAGCGTTCTTTTTTGGAGTTTTAGGAAATCTAAGCAGGTAGCTTCCCCTCTCTCTTCTTCTGCACTGCCTACGGAGGAGGCGGCCAACTTGACCGGCATCATGGCTGCCCTCAGACTCCTGGTGAAGCCCAAGATCATCAAAATAAGGACCAAGAAGTTCATCCAGCACCAATCAGATCGTAATGTCAAAATTAAGCATAACTGGCACAAGCCCAGAGGCAATGACAACAGGGTGCGTTGAAGATTGAAGGGCCAGATCTTAACGCCCAACATTGGTTACGGGAGCAGCAAGAAGACAAAACACATGCTGCCCAGCGGCTTCTGCAAGTTCCTGGTCCACAATGTCAAAGAGCTGGAGGAGGTGCTGCTGCACAACAAATCTGACTCTGCAGAGACTGTGCATAACGTCTCCTCCAAGGACCACAAAGCCGTGGTGGAAAGAGCAGCCCAGCTGGCCATCAGAGTCACCCATCCCAAGGCCAGGCTGCACAGCGAAGAAAAGGAAGAGACAGTCTATTTTTGAGTTCTATGTGTGCTAAATAATACCATAAAAAGCGCTGCCATCTGGCATCTTTCTCTCAAAAAAAAAAAAAATCTAAGCAGGTAAAATGGAAAACAAAAAGGACAAAGGGAAAAAAAAATTTTTTTTTTTTGATAAAGTAAATAAGGGTAAATTGCTGCAATTTGATGAACCTGACCTATACTCATGGAGGTAGTTACTGTAAATACCAACAGAGAGGGAAGGAGTCTTCACATCAAGTATCAATGCTATCCCCTCTGTACGCAGGGTAGATAGGGACCGGCAACTTAGCCGTTGGTTACCTAAAATGAGGGGGCGATAAAGGCATGAAGTGACTGGCTTACAAGGTTTTAGGAGGGAGTTTAGTTTAAGAGTGTGTGTGGGAAGATAGAGTCCCCACTGAATAGTTTTCATTTTGTCTAGATGAGTCTGGTTAAAAGAGATGGGGTTAAGATTCTTACGACTCAATAGTAATTGTTATCATGACTAATTGTGACTGTCACAATTGTAAAGGTAGAAGTTTCGTAATAAAAATGGGGGAGTAGTTAATCTTACAGTCCAGAAACAAAGGATCCTAGGACCATCAAGGGAGAAGAGCACAAGCAGAATGCAGGACCTTATCCAGAGAAGCAGCAACACCAGAGATGGAGACAGAGATGAGGTCACGGAGAGAGGGAACAGCAGAGGACTCTAGATTCATGGAAAGAGAGGGGCTGAGAGCTGGTGGCCAGGAGGCAGGCTTGCAGAGAGTGTGCCCTTTGGTGGTTTGCATTATTATATATGCCTGAGTGTTTTAAAAAACAAAACAACAAAAAAAGAGCTAAAGTGAACAGAGAGAAATACTGTTATCTGATGGTACAAGGAGGGAATTATAACCATTGTAATGAAATAAGGTGTATGATTTGTTGTATGTAAAACTGATGATCTGCGCCCTGTAAACTTTCACCGAATTCACAATAAAAACTTAAAAAGAAAAAGGACAAAGGATACTGGACATAGCAGCTTTGCACTGCACAGCGGGGCATATGGCTTACATGTAAGGGCAGATAGATAGATGCACAGGCTGATACTCAGCTTCTGATTTGGCAAGAAATGATTTGTTTGAAAAATAAAGAAAATGGATTCTGTCAAGATCCTGGATATCTTTGTAAATGAGCTGGTAAGAATAACAAATGGATTTGGTTATAACCATAACAACTCCTTAAAAATGTTTGGCAATGTTATTTTAATTAAGGCAGAAATGAAGAAAAATAAAGCTTCCTCCTCACAGGCGGAGTGTAGAACTCTTACTTTGCTCACACACCATTGGAGAAGGTATGTGGAATGTCTCAATTACTTGAGAGTGCCTTGATGGAAACAAAAGGCATTTTCAGTCCCTTACCTTGGAAACTGAAGACTTTTAATGAAAAACAGAAAAAACACGCTAGTACAGGAAACATAATATGCTGAGCAAAAACTGGGCTTTTATGTATGTACCAACTTGGCTTATAACCATATTGACTGGGTCACGTCATCAAAGCAGAAAATGAGTGACACCCGGATCTTCCGATCAGACCCGAACCAGACTAGACACGATCTGAACACAGATTTCCCTGATGCACTTCAAACCCAAATCCACCAAAACAGAATCCAGAACTGCCCCAGACCAAAAATTGTGGGAGTAATTCTACATTCCAAAATGTTACATTGCACTTGGTGTCTGAGTCAGGAATTCAGCTAGGCTCTTCCACCCTTTCTCATGACGCCCCTCTGCTGAGGCTTCCTGAGCGCTCCCTCTTCCACCTGACCTATGCTCCAGGCTCTGCTGCCCCCAGTCCCACTCACTCTTTCTGCAGCTCTACTGAAAAGACCTTTCTAGAGAACAAAGGACCATTGCCAGTCCCCTCTGGACAGTCCCTTGGAGCTCCTGGCAGCGTTTCAGTAGGCACCGAGTTCCCAGACCTAGCAGACACTATGATTGGACCTGTGTGCCCTGCAGTTTACCACTGCTGCCTTTCTCACTGGACCATTTGTCTCGTGACAATGCCGCACTTCTGAGAACACAATATGTTGGCATTGTTCAGTGCCCTTGAGTCGGTTCTGACTCATAGCGACCCTGTATAGGGTGTCCGAGGAGCGGCTGGTAAGCTTGAACCACCGTCCTTGCAGTTCAAACTGACTTTGTTGTGCAGCACATTAACCTGCAGCGCCACACCAGGAGAACACAGTATAATCCTCTCATATTCATAAACCTGCACGTGTTTCTCTGCACCTAGAATCACTCTTCACTGTGCTTGCCTCACGGATCTCCATCTGTAAGGTTCTTGCATCCTCTTTTCCACTCCTGGTGCCCAACCTTTTCCCAAGAAAGCATAATGTCCTTCTGCTGCTACATGACGACTGGCTCATTTCCCTCCTCAATTACAGCACTTACAATGCCTATGAACATTCCAAGTCTTTCCAGGGCAGGGACTACTGTGCATTATAGTCAATACTGTGGTCCCTTCTCCCCCATTTAATATAGTTCCCAGTATGGAACAGACCTTAATACCCTTCTGTTTTCTTTTAAAGATTGAATGACGCTGGTAGCGGAACTAAAGTTCTTTTAAAACAATAAAAGCTTTCAAAACCATACACAATTCTGTGTGGTTACAATAAAGATCAATTTTTCAGCTAAGTTCTGTCAAAATAGAAACATATGGTAGACGCTTACCAATTTTCCCCTTTGAACTTTGGAACTGGAATTTTTTTAGGGTTTTAGATGTTATATTTCACATCAAGGGACAGGAAGGAGAATAATGAGAAGCTCAGTTGAGCTTCTCTTGACTGGTTTGCTAAGCTCATCAGTAGAAAAGATGAAAATGGAACTTTAAAACAGTGACGTTTAATGTGTCCCCTAGTTAGTATACAAGATGCCTGTGGCCAACTACTCAGCCACTGGTCTGATTTAAAAATGAATGACATCATTCCTAAGAGAGCTAGAGATTCACCTTCAGGTCTGTCCAACATTTTACATCAAATCTTTACATCAAATCAGAGACACAGGAGCTAATTTAATGAATCAAGGAGTCTGAAGAGGAGATTAATAGTCACTGTTCATTCATTCTGAAATCAGATCTTTACAATGGTTGGACATGATTAATAGTCACTGTTGATCCCTTCTGAAATCAGATCTTTACAATGCTTGGGCATTTTTGATCTTGAAAACATCTACCTTCTGAAAAAAAGCTCATGAAGCAGGGAATAAAAAATCACCTAAGAGTCTGGGTAGTGCAAGCAGTTTGGAACCTATCAGCTTGTAATTAATCTAAAAGTTGGTGGTTCAAAACCACCCAGCGGCTCTGTGGCAGAAAGATCTGGTGAACTGCTTCCAGGATTGTTGCTGTGTGTACCATCAAGTTGGTTCTGACTCATAGCAACCCTGGATAGGGCTTCTGAGACTGGCTGGTGGGCTTGAGCTGCCAACTTTAACGTTAGTAATTCAGTGCTTATCCTACAGCACCACACAAGGGCTCTTGAAAACTCTGGGGTTAGTTCTATACAGTCACACATGGGAGCTCCATGAGTCAGAGGCTGACTTCCCAGAAGGTGACATTTATCTAATGAAGACACTGCACCATCCTGCGTAAACATACATCCAGTTAGACTTGGAGAGAGGATGACTCAGTAATTCTGAGATGACAGCTCTCCATACTAAATGGCACAAGTATAGTTTGGCCTAGTCCCTACCCTCTGCCATGAGATGATAGATCTCTCTAGAACTGGATGTGAGCAAATGGTTTAGAAAGAGAGGTTCCATCATGAAGAAAAGGAAATTCATAAACATTCTCCACTAGGAAATTCTTAAATCTATTTTGGAATGTACCTGGCCAGCCTGACAAAGCCTTTTTATAAGGTCGCTCTTCTGTATGTTTCACAGACTGAATTTGGGGGAAATGGAAAGAAATGAGACGATGTCTTATTTGTGGTCCATTTCACCGCCTTCCATTGCGAAAACGACAAACTATGGAGAACCAATGGAAATGTTGCATTAACACGATTTTCCTAAACAGATCTTTTTCTGTGTAGGGAAAACTAATTTACACTGTACCTGGTTAAGAGAACCTTCTGGTAGGGTTGTGCAAAGGGAGATTTCAAACTCCATGTATATGATCACCAGCATCACACTAGTAGAGCTCAGATCTGGAGTCTTTGGGATGCAATTAATGTGCTCGACTGCTATATAAAAGGCTGCTGGCTGATGTCCAACAAGAGGTGCCTTGGAAGAAATGGCTGGAAGTCTACTCCTGAAATAGCAGCCACTTGGACACACAGTTCTACTCTGACACACATGGGTTGCTATGAGTCAACATGGACTTGATGGCAAATGGTTTGTATACCTCTGATCAACTAGGTTCTGTCTGTGGTCTATTTCACATCATTCAGTTCCCAAAGGTTGTTTCCAGCACTGCTCTGGGCACAAGGAATGGGGAAAGTCTGAAATGATGATTAGATGTGGTGGTGCGCCAATCAGGAGCAGTGCATGAGCTGACAAACTTCACGTAACCATCTTCTGCCTCCCAGGAGTCACGAGCTGGGAAAGTCTAAGGCAGTAGTCACAGCTGCTATTTTTCTGGAATGTTCTCTACACTTCCTGAATCGTTCGCCTTCAAGTTGCCATTTATCAAGCACCTGTACCCACTGCTGTCACTGTCCAGTGGATTATGACTCATAACGACCCTGTAGGGTAGAGCAGAACCGCTCCACAGGACTTTCCAGACTATATGTCTGTATAGAAGGAGCCCTGGTTTCATAGTGGTTATGAGTCAGGCTACTATTCTCAAGGTCAGCAGTTCAAAACTACCGGCTGTTCCACGGGAGAAAGGTGAGGCTGTCTGCTCCCATAGAGATTTACATCCTTGGAAACCCTATACAGGGTCACTATGAGTCGTAACCGACTCTACGGCACACCACCACCACGTCTTTACAGAAGTACTCTTTCTCATCTTCTTCCTGTGAAGCAGCTGGGGGATCTGAACCACTGACTTTGGTTAGCAGCTGGGCACTAACCAGCGCACCACCAGGGTTCCTTCCCTCAAGTACCTGCTACGGGAAGTGCTTTAGAAAGTTTGTAGCAAAATGGGATGAGAGGATGAATGCTTGCCACTCACGGACCAGCCCGCAATTTGTTTGGTTTCTCATGTACAAACTGGACCCAGCCCTCTGCAATGGTAGTTTTCCTGTTTATAGCTTAGTGTGGTGCATTCAGAATCTTTCAAGTTCTTCTGAGGCTGACTTAAGCATCAGACCACCAAGCAGAACGTGATGTCATCCTATGTGTGATCCCTGTGGGTGCAGGCCAGGCTTATGCTGTCGCTCCAGACCTGGCTTTAAGAAAATATCAGAGTCTAGCCCCTCTCGTAATCTGCACCAGCTCTGGTAAGATACGATGACTAGCTCATTAAGACGAGAAAGTGGGGCAAGCACATAACATTTTAAAGCACGCTCCATGTCAGCAACGTCATGCTCACTGTAAAATTTAGGGAGAGGAAGTACATCAGTATTTTACTGATCAACAAGAAGAACTAAGCCTCTATACCTTGAAAAGGCCAACTTAACCCAGAAGACAACCCTCTCGCTAAAGGCACTTAGGTTCTCTGTTTGTGGTTTAGCTTCTGAGCCTCTTGCTATGCCAGATGTGAAGGTCAGCCCTCCAGAACACCTGGAAGAGGAACCAGGGCTCTAAGATGGTGACACGCTCCCTCCCATGGGGGCGCCTCACAGTCTGACTTCTCACCAGTGTGCTTTTGTTTAGTAAGAAAATGTGGGAACTGGGTCCAGATGTCCTGCTTCTGAACCAGATGGGAACAAACTGGATTGTTACTCAACCACATGCATCATTGGAACCTCAAGTCTACTGAAACCCTCTTTTGAGTATACCTTTTCAGAAATTGTCAAAGATACAAACAAATAGGAACCCCTGAAGGGCTTGCTACTTCAAAAGAGGAGGAGGAAGACACAAACAAAAACAAAACACTGGCTGAAAGCAAATCTTGATTAGTTTTCACTTTTAGTTTAAATAAGAAACCACACACTTATTCATAGTGTGGGATCAAACGTCTACACAGTAAAAATACCACCACAATGTCAAGAAAGGAACCACAGATATATTAGTGTGTTGGGTGCAAGGAAACATGCTCCGAATAGAAAATAAGGTTAGGATGGGCGTTTTTACGGCAGTGACATCTGAACACATCAGAAGCTTCAAGCACTGCTCACAAATCCATTTGAGACTAAGTCATCATTTCTAATCTTATTTTCTATTACGAGTGTATTCATTAAAAGCACAAAAATCAAGGGGCATCAACCAAGATTTTCTTTTTTTTAATTAAAGAAAAAAAAAAAAAAGACAGGAAACGTTAATAGGCCACAAGCTTGGGTGAAAGCTTGATGAGCTGGTTTAAAGCAAACTGGGTAAAGCACAGTACCGTACGAGGGCACTGAGTCTCGGGGGCCACTCTCTCCACATAACACCTGGCTGCCTGAACAAAGAGTAAAGTTACAATGCTTTCAGCACAACACCTGGATTCCTCCACCCCACCACCTGCAGGGCCTGTGTGAACAGAACTACATCTACTTACTGTGATCGATATAAAACGTTCGGCCATCCAAGTGAATTCTTTCTTCCCAACCAGGCTAGTATTGGGGAGGAGTGGGGGAGACAGCGGGGTGGGAAGTGGTGGTGGAGGGAGAGAGAGAAAGAGGTGGAGAAAGAATATGAAAAAAATTGTTAGCTGGCAGTTCCCAAAACAAAGGCAACATTTTGAACTCCAGGATGCTTTTTTATTCTTCTTTCCTCGGCATGTTTTGTACATTTCAAATACACTAAATACAAACATTTCAACTTAACTCATGACAACATCGGCAGGACTCTTGGCAGATGTTCAGAGGTTTCAGATGCATGTGAGATACTCATTATGTGAGAAGCAGGAAGCTGGTCCCTATTTCAAAGAGCAGCTTTAGCAGACCATGAGACAGTTGAGTTTAAGGCTGAGGAACTCATTTAACGAAATCAGTCTTTAGAGAGTATTAAAGGGAAGGGAAGGACCAGTCATACAGAACTGTTATAACACTCACTGTATGTAAATTGCTATCAGGTGGCTGAACAACCGAATTCTGGCATTCCCTATTCTGAACTCCCACTTTTCAAACTCAGGAACTAAATAGATCTGGATGTCTTTTTCCAGGCAAGGCTGGTATGCTCTTAGGTTGAAGTCCATGAATCAGCTTACTATCTGCACTCCCCACCAAGACCCAGGACACTAACAGAGTCAGAGAGAGTTAGTTGCTAGGTGTGATGAATAAATCTTCCAATTTTCCATCCATCTACCACAGAGTATAAGCATAAAGGTTCTGCAAGTTCATTATTGCAAAACAACAAACACAACAATAAAATAATTCCCAGTATCCTTCCATTTAAAAATAGTCTTAGAGCCCAGTAAGGCTTTATTTTCAAACAGGGATAGATGGTGAAAATTTCATTCAAAATTCACTTCAGAGTAAATAGCTGAACTCCCACTCAGGCCCCCAAAAGAACAAACTGATATATATGTGAATAAGAAATTGAGTTTATAAAGAGTCACCAACAAGGGGAAAAAAAAATCTCTTAAAATATCTACAGGCTAAATGACTTATAGCAACCTTCTGCTTATGCCTTTTTCTCCCACTGTTTTAATTATTTTTGTTCCTACAACTAAATCAGCAATGTGGATGGGACTCAGTGGTTGCTAAGCTTTTAAATAAACGCGTGCTGTGTAAGTAGCCAACTGTAGAGAATGTCTCATACACATGCTAGTTACAAGGTCTACTTATTGCATCTAGCAATTCTGACACATCTTTTATAGTACTGGGTGTTGTATGAACCTTGAATCTTATTAAAATTCAACCCAACACCCAACTCTATAAAGAAATACAGGCCAATGGGACCGAGAAGCCTGAAGAAAGAGAAGACCCAGAGGGAACTCCATCAACATTTGGTGGATAGGCCCACGTGCCTTCAATGTACTCACAGGAAGAGGCCCGAGATCATTGGGATTTAAAGACGCCTTGGATCGCATATGTACCGGAAACTTCAGGCGCGGATCTTCCTGCAACAATAATGCAGAGGGCAGATGATGTTAAGTGGGACTAACCGTGGCAATTACTGGCTCCTTCCCTACTGGAGCTGTGAGTTCCAGGCAACAAGGGTTGCTGGGCATGGAGGTACATGCCTGCCTACATGAGGAAGGGAAGAGCCCATCTTTCTGCTCTTGACAGGAAGCCTGGCTGACTCCACTAAGATTCTACTCTTCTTTCTGGCCTTGGGGAAAGGGGGAGAGTACAAACGAAATCAACATAAGGTTAACTATTTCCACCCTCGAAACCTTGAACAGGTGAAAACAAAGAGGGGCTCTGAAATGATGTTACTATGGAAACCTGGATGGAGGGGACCAGGGAAGGTGGGTTCTCCTCCACACCCGGGAGAAGGACCATGTTTGGAGCTCTTCCTATATGTTCTGAGAGTTTGTATCTGCTCTGCTTCTGAGACACGCAGCTTTCCCAGATACAGTTGGCTTCAGCATGTAACATCACACACCCTACCCGAGAACTTGACCGAGATCCTCATTTAGGTCACATTTTAAAGCTGTGACATAGTAGATGTGTTATCATTGATGAAAGTCTTGCCATGACCCTCCTAGGAGGCTGGGCACTGGGTCTCTGTTTCTTTGGATGAGGAAACAGTTTCAGAGAGAATGAAGATCCATCCAATGGATCTACCCACCTCTCACTTATTCAGGCCCAACAGAAATGCAACGTTAACTCAGAAATTCTTTATCTTTAAACTCAAAAGGTTAGGAAATAAATGACAAAGCTCAGCACAACACATTGCCAACTTTAGATTACAGGGAGGAAAAATCGTTATCATAGATTACATTTGATTAGATTCAATCAGCTGTATCAAAACCTCTGCTACTCTTAAATTACCAAAAAGCTTCCTACTGCAAGATTTTTCCAAGCCAGCAGTGTAAACCAGTTGTATCACTGGATAGAAACATAGACTTTTGCAACAATCACACAAAAACAAATCACCTTTGTTAGCAATGGCTCCAACAATTTACCATAAGCACTGACCCTGAAACTTACTAACATATTTCTTAAGGGAGAAAGTGCAGGCATAAAAACAGGCCCATTATTACAAAGGTGGACGCATCCACTGTGACTAGAACACATACAGTGCAGACGGATATGCTAAGTAGATTTTGTTGTTGTTAAGTGTCCCTGAGTTGCTTCTAACTCAGGGATACCCTATACAGGCTTTCCAAGGAGCAACTAGTGGGGTTGAGTGGCTGACCTTGTGGTTCATAGTCTAATGCTTATCTGACAGCGCTCTAGCAGGAGTTTGTATACGGTTTGCTGGGTAGTTATTAAGTGCTGGTGAGTGGGTTCCAACTCATACAGACTCTGAATATGGTTTCCATGGCTTTAAATATTTGTAGGAGCAGAAAATACTCCTGTGGAGTGGCTGGTGGGCTTAAGCCACAGACCTTGTGGTCAGAAATTCAGTGCTTACCCTATGACTGAGCTCCAGTATAGGGTTTATTGTTCCTCAGAGCTGTCGAGTTGATGCCAACTCACAGGAAGCTTGTGTAGAATTTCCAAGAACAGTTGGTAGGTTTGAATTCCTGACCTTGTGGTTTGCAGTCCAGTGTTGATTCTATAGCACCACACCAGGAGTCCTAGTATAGGGTATATTGTTGTTGTTAAGTGCCATCTAGTTGGTTCTGATTCATAGCAACCCTACGCGCATAGGGTTCCCAAAGAGTGGCTGGTGAGCTTGAACTGCTGACCTTTCAGTTCGAGCCAACCTTACAGTCCAGCACATTAACCCACAGCACCATACCAGGACTTCAGTATAGGGTTTGTTGTTAAGTGCTGTCGAATCAGTTCCAACCCATAGCAACCCTGTATAGGGTTTCCAAGGAGCGGCTAGTGAGCTTGAACCACCGATCTTGTGGTTCAAACCGGCTTTGCAGTATAGCACATTAACCTACAGTGCCACACCAGGACTCAAGTATAGGGTTTGTTGTTGTTGTTAAGTGCATCGAGTCGATTCCAACCCATAGCCACCCAGCATAGGGTTTCTGAGGCTGTAAATCTTTATGGGAGCAGAAAGCCTCATCTTTCTCCAGTGGAACCGCTGGTAGTTTCTAGGTGCTGACCTTGAGATTAGCAGCCTGATTTGTAACCACTATACTACCAGAGCTCCTATAGTATACGGCTTGTTGTTGTTAAGTGCCATCGAGTCGAATCTGACCCATGGTGAACCTGTATAGGGTTTCTGAGGAGTAGCAGGTGAGCTTGACATCGACCTTGCAGCTCAAACAGCTCTGCAGTCTGGTGCACACCACAGCGCCACACCAGGACTTCATAAGTATAGGGTTTAGAAGGACCCAAAACTAGACAAAAAAATTGTGACAGGTTAATTGCAGGCAGAGGAAAAGCTTAAAGCACTGAATGTCACAAAAGCTACCTGCTCAATGGACTCTGAGCTATACCCTACATGACCACTGGCCAACAGGTTTAGAGAAAGCCTGGACTGCTATCCAGAGAAGGCTGTAGGGTTCCCTGCCATAGGCAAGGCTGGCCATGCTTAGAGACCAATCACACACAGGTTCTGATGAGGCTCTGATGAAAGACAGTTAACCACCACTTTTGGTAAAAAGCTGAAGCTTTAGAGAAAAAAAAAGCAAGAAAGAAATTACAGACAAATGCTGGGGGTGGGGAAAAAGGGCATGAAAAAGACAAAAAATTTCACAGGTCAGCTAAGATGGGTGTATACAGAAACCCAGAATTTGCAGAATGGGAGCATCAGAGGCCCTGAGGGGTCGTCTTCTTTTATTCTTCCCCCAGTAATTAGAACAAGTGCAGTTGCTGCCATCCATCAAGCTTGGGTCTCACCCTCCCATCCAGCCCTCCCGGCAATCCCAGGAGGCAGGCACCTGGGCAGCTGAGGGAGCAGGTGGTGAAGTGATGGCCAAAGCCCCATTTAAGTTAGGGACAATTGCAGGGCTGAGCATTAGCTGAAGTAACGAGGTCTCCAATGATATGGGCAGAAATGATGGGATACGAAAAACATACTCAATCTTTCTCGTTCCTTTCCTTAGTGGTGTGACGATGCACTGGACCGCAAGGTCAGCGGTTCACACCCACCAGCTGCTCCTCAGAAACCTTACACAAAGTCATGGAAAGGCACTTAACAACAACAACAACTCAGCATAGTAGTAGCACTCTGTAGCTACACATTGCTTCCCTCAATCCAGTTAAACAAGTATTTTTAAACGGAAGGCAAAAATCAGCATAAGAAAAATAACAAAAAAGGTTTCCTAACAAAGCAATCTAAAACATAAACGCTATCTGAATAGTAAATGGTTCAAAACCAACTGTTTTTCCTTTATTACTCAGGAGGGGGCCCACAGTCACCTCTGGGCTACAAAGAGTTTTATTAGTTAGGATGTGGATAGAACACAAATGTGGAACCAATTAATTAAGATCTTATCTTTCTGGCTACAAAATAAGCCAGTGTCCTGGGAAAGATTTGACTAGACTAGTATTCACATCTCTGTGCCCTCTGCAGGGGGTGGGCAGGTGAAGAACCTGTCACCCCATGTCTGTCACCTGGTCCAGGCTGGGACAGAGTCCAGCTGACCTGATGCTGCCAGACTTTATTCCACGCAGACTCCTGGCACGCTGATTCCATCCTGAGTATGTGGGGAAGCCCGTGATTCAATCAACTCTACAGTGGATTTTCCTTGATCAATGAGGACAAGGGGAGTTTGGGCCTGACTCCCTTCATGCTCCTGAGTATTGGTTTCAGGAACCAATAGCACCCAGGCTGATGGAGGGGAAAATAACCCCCAAAACTCAGACTCCAAACCTATGAGCCAATTTCGACAAAGTAGAACTGTTCCCTAAGACCTTCATAGATATTAAAGGAAGCAAACTGCCTCATCGGTCTCCTATGGAGTAGCTGGTGGGTTTGAACCGCCAACCCTGGGGCAAGCGACCCAATGCTTAACCCACCATGTCACTAGGGCTCTAATGGGATCGGAAGGATTTTCATTATTTCCAACCGGTCACATCAGTTTACTTTTTCTCTTAGGATGCTCAAATCTAAGAATAGCTGTTTGTTCCCTGGCTCTTTTAAAAGGCAAACAAGGCAAATCCGTAAGTCAACTCAAAACAGATTTTAAGATGAAAGTGATCTTGGTAATTCCTACACGGGTCCCTGTCTTTGTTGAAATAAAGCACGTGCCCGGAGTCAGTGGTCCATGGTCCGCATTCAGTACAAGTTCTGTTTGGAAGAGATGGGCAGCTGCAGCGGCATTCTGAGTTCAGGAAAGAGGTTAGTCACTTGTGGGATTCCCAAAGGTTATCTAAGAATTTTTAGTAACAGAGGCAGCAACAAGTTTTTGAAACATATAAAAACTTGAATTAGTAAATTAGTCAATACCAAACATATGGGTAAAAAAGGGCCACGTGGAAACTAAAACCTGGCTTCATTCAGCAACATTGGAAGCAGTAGAGAAAGACAGTGCAATTTCAAATAAAAATCCTCCCATCACAATTAGGCTGTGGTTGTGTGTGCCATGAAAGGCTGTGAAAAGGTAAGGGGGTTTGATTACTAAGCTAGTTCACATTACTCATATCATAGCTTATGTTGGCAAGCCACGGTGGCTCCACGAACTAATCCACCTAGTTTTATAGTACTTCTCCCACATTCCTGGAGCTCCGATTTCTGGCCAAGGATCTGCAATTACAGAAATGGGTATATTGGCAGGAGGACCTTGGTTCTTTGTCACTGAGAAAAAACGCTTAAAAGTCGATCTTCTCTTACTATATTCTTCAAAGAGCTGCTGCTGGCCATCTCTCTACTTACTGTTCATGTTGCTCACACACCTGTAATAATAACTCCAGACTCAAAGGTGAGTCAAGCAAACCTACATGCCATCATAAGCCTTAAAAGTAGTTAGTTATCTGTTTACTACACAAATGTGACCAAATATAAATGACACATACTCTTGGCAGGTGACTCCATTCATTCAAAACAGGAAGAGGTTTTAGAAAGGTTCTCACTGAGGGTTGAAGAAGGGCATCTTTGGGTATCACTGTGACTTGGGGCTAATGGCTGCTGGCATTCAGTGGCGTGACAAGAGATATAAAATGTCCCATAATAGAAGACATATTCCTGCCTCAAATGCCAAGAATGTCCTCGTGGAGGCGTACTGTACACTAAGAGCCATGGGATTTTGGAGAGGAAGTACTCTGGGTTATCGACTCAGTTCTCAAAGGGCCAAGTTAACATTAGACCTTGGACAAAGTATCAGTGACGGTCCAGGTCACCTCACCCTTAACACAACACTGCTGTGCTAACCACCTGGATACATCACTAGACATAGGACTTTAAGCAGGAGCTTGTTGCTGATGCAAGCCCAAAGAGCTTGGGCCAATGACCGTGACCCAACTCAGCCAACTTTCCTACAACATCAGTTCTAAGCAAGTGGCAAAGATGACAGGAGAACAGAGTTAAACCCCATACCCAACATGTTGTTGTTGTTAAGTGCCATCGAGTCAGGTCCGACCCATAGCGACCCTGTACAGGGTTTCCGAGGGTGTAAATCTTTACGGGAGTAGAAAGCCTCATCTTTCTCCCGTGGAGCAGCTGGTAGTAATTTATTGTCGTTAAGTGCTGTTGACTTGGTTCCAACTCATAGTGACCCTGGATAGGGTTTCCGAGGAGTGACCTTGTGGTTCAAACCAACCTTGCATTATACTATGGGCAGCAAGGAAAATAAACCTTCTGCAGCTTTGGAACTCACAAGAGAAACTATTTCAGTTTAAAAAATTAGAGATGACCATGTTGAAAAATACCAACTGACTTTTTAAAGACTCTTAGGAGTGGGATGTTGTGAAAGACTCCTAGGCTATACTGACATGGCACTGAACCATAAAGTCAGTTTGAACCACAAGGTTGGCCGGTACAAACCCACCAGCTGCTCCTTGGAAACCCCATACATGGTAACTGTGAACCAACTCAATAGCACTTAACAACAACAACAACAGGTTACACTAAAAGAACCACCAATTCAGCTAAAGAACTGAAGAACTGATGGAGGAAATGACAGATAATCATATTTCACATTTGATCAATCTTTGCTTGCCCGAGTTAATGCAACACGTGGTTCTTTTTCAGGTATGATTCAGGGGCACGTGAAAAGGCAGTGGGGTAAAGAAAACCCATTTTGACTAAATGTTCACCAAAATCAGTGATCACATTGACAGCCAAAGAAAGAGAAAGCAGAGTCCTTTGGTACATTTCTCCACTGACAGTGGAAAGAATGAAAACAGAGCAGAGATGCGGCCAACTACAAACCTGATGAGGACGGTATTAACTCGAGGAACAAACCCGAAGAAGGCAGGAAAATAACAAAAATGCAAAAAGAAACAGACAAAGGTTTCAAACTAAGTTTCTACTTCCCAGTAAAGTTACAAAATGTCAGGAGATGTGAGCAGTGACATTTAAATCTGACTAAGGACACTGGTGATGACCGTACACCACGATCGATGCAATCGGTCTCACGGAATTGTAGTGTGAGCAATGTTGTGAGCTGGCAAATGTGGGGTTATCTGTATTTTCAGAATACACAAAACAAGCACCCTGTATTTAGCAACACAAGAGCAGGAGTGTGAGGAGGTGGAGACACAGATGGGACGGGACGGGACGGGACTGCAGTTTGTCATCCCCTTACTGATGCTTTTGTAACTAACATGTAAAAGTGTGGGAAATGATTATTTAAATAAAATTCAGTAAGATAAAAAAAAAAAAAAAAGTCCTAGCAATATGGAGCATCCCTTACTTACTCCCAACAAAAGCACCTTGTCAAAGCTAGCATGCTCTAGAGATGCTATGAAGAAACAGTAGTCCAGTTGGCACCAATGAGAGAGGCTGCCAGAGGGCTGTGCCCATACATTACCCAGAAGCTCCCCCAGCCCATATGTGGAGGGTCCAGAGTCGGGCTGAGGAGACACCCCTTGGGGCCAGTGAAATCTCTCTACCAGACGATGCACGCTGGGTAATGAAGAGAGGCCAGGATACTGGCGCTCAGGATCGGAATGGCACTGAGATGAGAGCAGCAGCCTTACCCAAGTTGTCGTCTTTGTGTTGTGATCGATGAAGAAGGGCCGGCCGTTTGGAGCTATCCTCATCTCCCAGCCAGGTGGCAGGAAGCTCTGTGTGACTCTGTGTTGTGGTTTGGGGGAGTTGTAAGGTGATGGCTGTGGGGACTGTGGGTTGGAAAGGGTATCTTTCACAGCCCGACGTATGGGTGAATCCTTGGCACCCTAAGGAATAATAAGGAGCATTAGACATTTTATCATACACTATTCCAGATGCATCACAATGCCCCTGGGTCTTGTGGAACACTCCTCTTTGGAAATGGACAAAGGGAAGAGTCTAGAAAACTTGTCATTCATTTATGTCTTAAGCAACCTAACTTTACATTTATTTGATGAATTAACCACAAAGTAATATTAAGTACTTTTAACTACCATCTTTTGGTAGCTACTCAGTGTGTAATAAATAGACGCTTCTCCACTAAGCACTGTGAATGTCGACAGTTCAGACGGTGGCGAGAAACTTGCCCCTGCTCTTAACGAGCTCACAGTCTAATGAGGAAAAGGGTTGGCAAGTTTTAGACACAAAAAGCACAGCCGAGATGACTAGAGATCACCACCTAAAATCACAGTTGTTCTACATGACACAGCATGGTCTGAAGAGCCATTATCTAGTTCCACTTTTCAGCATCTTCAATCCAGGGCATGGAGAAACCCACAGCTGTCTCTTATCCACAGCCAACTTTAGAACTTCAAACATTTACGCGTTGGCTCTCCTGGCTCTCTGACACCCACGATGCTAAGAGCTAGCACTAGAACAACACACACACACAAAGGCGGGCGAAGAGAACAGAAACAGAGCGCAGTGATGACTCCAAGATGCAAATCTGCATCCAAACAGGGATGCCCAGACAATGGAACAGCCTCCAGTCGAAAGAAAGAAAGAAAGAAACAAAATGATCAAAGCAACAGCTAAGCTTTCAAACTCAATGTAAGCATTGGTATTGTACACCGTTGTAACGAGGTCACAGGCAAAAAGGAGTGAACGCAAGAATGGTGGAAAGTCCTGAAAAGAAGGGCCCGCACATCTAGCACAAGTCCCCACGGGCTCAGGCAGATGAGCATGAGAATCAGGTGAGGAGTCCAGGCATGTTAATGGGCGGACAGAAGAGCATGTCGTGAAGCTGCACAAGACCACCTCTCACCATGGATATAACAATTCATCAGGGAGCACGGTGGCTGCCAGACGGAAGTCCATGTTAGAGAGAAGAAAGGATGTAGGATAGAAGGAAGCCCAGTTAGATGAGAGAGCCTTCTCACCTCCAGTGGGGCAGATAAAGTCACTGTTGGTGAACTGAGACTGCGAGGCCGGCGGATCTGAGGCTCGATGAGATGACTGTTACTGTTTGTGGCTGACCCGGATGCGCCATCTTCTGCGAGCTATTTTGGAGGCAAACACAAGTTAGCTTCATACCAGGATCTCCCTGTGTGTGATTAGGAGCACAAACCCAAACAACAACACACACAGCAATAATAAAAGGTCTGGCCTATTTACAGCAGGGAGGAAATAATTAAACATAATGATGGTGGGGAAAAGGATGGGGTAACACATTCAAGGGAAATGAAAATGAATCACTGGCCTGGCATAAAAACTAGCCTCAGAAAAAAGTGGGGTGTGGGGCTGGGGGCAGGGGGAGGTACACGTCACTGAAAGGATCTTTCATGTCACCACGTCTCAAAAATGTACCCAGGGATATAGTGGTTTGGGGACTGCATTCTTCCCAAGGCAAATAGGAAGCATAATGTCAAGTATTTTCCTTTTGTGATACATCATTATTTTGTGAGTACTGGTCATTCAGAATGATACATAAACATGAGGAACGTGGAGGCAGGCCACAGACGTTTTGGCTGCCACCCCCTGCAGCGTGACGTTGGATGGTGGTCTTCGTACCTGCATGATAGGGCGAGTCCACGTTGTGGTTCGGTTGTTATGATTGACATAGTACGTGCGTCCCTTAGCATCTTTCCTTTCTTCCCAGCCAGAAGGAAGACCCGGCGTGGTGTGCACATAGGCCACTGATGGCTGTTTATGTGAGAAATCGTGATTATTTAATGGCATGCATTGGCCTTCCGATCCATTGAATCAAGTCATCTACACCATAGCAATACTTTGTCTACATCATGTTAATTACAACGGAACAGAAATCAGAGAGAGGATCCCGCAAAAACAACATGAGGTTTCTGATGGCTTCAAGTCTACAGTGACATGAACCCCCACACACACACTGCGGGGTCTATGTTCTAACAGAACTTGGTTCTAAGACTCTGAGGTCTGTGGCATAACAAGGGTCGTTGCTATGGTGGATCAGAAAGAAAAAGCTACTGTTTTAGTTGTGAATCTTTGCTGTCAAACCATGCAGACTTTTCAAGATATTCCAGATTGGTGAAAGTCAGCCATCTATCAGATGGATATGCTGCGTATTTTTCCCTGGATATAGCTGCCAAGATGACCCTCTGCTAGCATTTCTAGCCAGTTTCTTCTTTCAGTGTAGGGGTCTTTCACTAGAGATCTCAGGGAGACAGACAGCACACAGCCTTTTCTTAGGAGGTTTGCACATATACGGAGGCAGCAGACAGTCTGGAGGGACAGCCAGGATAGCTCACGTTCCCATGGCCAGGATGTCACCCGGACGTTAGGGAGCTGATCCTGAGGCTGTATTCATTCACCCCATCACACCAATCCGGAGTTTGTTTCCCTAAAGAGTGAAGTACAGGCAGTGACTGGATTGGACAGACAAGTCCAGTTAGAGTGCCCTATTTTTAAATGCCAGACTGGACCACGAAAGGATTGTTGAGGAACTGTAATCTTGTAAGGAGCAGTCTGGGAAATATAGACTGGATGGAGACATATCAAAGAAACAAGTTAGCTCAGTGATGTGCAGGCAATGAGCCTGAATGTCTGAGGTCAATGCCGCCCCAGGACATCTAGATGTAAGAATGCTGAGACAAGACCCTTACTGTGGACGGGTGGGGGGTGTGTCTCAGAAAGAAGAGGCACCATGGCTGCCAAGACTCCTGGGAGCACTTGAAAGAAATATGAGGCCGCTAGGTATCAGGAATAACCTCTCATGTGAGGTTCCAAAAAGGAGCTACCTGTCTTTGGACTACTAGCTGCCCCAGCGAGGGTCTCCTGATTCTCCAGATGGTTAACAGGTATGGGTTTCAGAATACTGAACTAAGGATGTCACTCTCAACACAACTCCTCCCACTCCACATGCCATCTCTTTTGTTCACTACTAAGCATGTGCCTTGATAAAGGAGGTCCCAGTCACAAGGCTGATCCACCCCCCAGGGCCTTGAATTAGCACAACCCAAGCACTGCCAGGGGACCAAGGACTACATTGTGGACTTAGCAGCTCATTCCCAAGAAAAATGAACTGGGTGGCTGACTCGGCAGTTAGTTCTAAAGCATGTTTACTAGGTGAGCCGAGGCGAAGTTATTTTAGGAAAACATTCTGCTCAACGGCAGCGACTCTTTCAGAGACATTTTTCCCAGGTAAAGTCCTGAAGGCCCCATAAAGGCCATCCATGAGTCTGACCACCTAGCATCCTGGATCCAGGTGTGGAGGTTCAGCAGAGTAGAATAAACATCAACAGGCCTAAGTATCAAAGACAGGTGAGTCAGTAAGGAACATGAAGTTCTTCTTCAGTCGCTCCTCCTCCCGCTGAGACATCAACCGCAATATTTGGAATCAGCATCTACAGTCTGATGAGATCCCTAGGTGATTCCCATATAATACACATGACTCACCTGTGCTACAATTAGGTCATGTGTATCTGGGGTGGACAGGCAAATTCTCAGCAGTGGATCGAACTGGAATGTACCCATTTGAAGCCCTGATCTCCCCAGACTACTTTTTATCTGGGCACTTAACAAAATTTATCCTTCTGAACTAACCTAAGTTAGTAACAGAAGTAGTAAACTAAGATGGTAGTCAATTTGTATTTTTGGCAAAGCGGATGCTATCAAGTATGTGTTTGGGCTAAATGGTATACTAAGTGGAATTTGGTTCTTCCTTGCCTCTCTGTTGGGTATTCTGGGGACAAGGCAATTAGATATGCCCTTGGGAAAGCTCTGTTCTGGAATCCTTAAGGATATTTTTATAGTTACAGCATCCCTGGTTAGGATATTTATGAGGCAGCAGATAAACCAAAATAACTTGGTTGAGAGTGTCATGAACAACCACAACACTGAATTCAGCCGCTGTGTACCTTCCAGCCCAGTGTTCAGCGACCAGGTGTTCTGCACAGAGTCACAGGCAACAGGATGAAGCAAAAATTAGGAGGGCAGTAGTGAACACGGAATTAGATAAGCATGTTCATTCTGCCTTCTATAGAACTGGCAGCTTATAATTGAGTTCTATTTATGTGAGATGGTTATTAAAATGATTCTCTGCAGTCTTTTCTGCGCATGGCCATGAAATACACCTGTGCTGATGAATCTATTTGTGACAGAAAGCCTGACACCCAGCCCGCCCCCCCCCCCCCATAAGACGTGGCTTCTGCAGACAGATCCGCAGACGTGGTCCTGTTCTGACCCTAATCAGACGTCTACTGGCCCTTGTATGTGCATGTTACCTACTATTCACAAAACAAGTCCTTAAGGGACAAGTCATTAACTACCAATAAGCTTCATTTACCATTCCACAGCTTTTCATCTATGGATGAAATATATTGCCATTTCCCAAACAGCCTTTTGAGTATCGCTAGGTTCTGTCATAAAAACAAACAACTCAACAATGCACAAATGGTTAAAATTTCAATTTGTTTTAAACAGGACAGCTACTCTGACACTGATTCTCCAATACTGGGCTCCAATCCGGCCATCCTATCACCTCGGTATATTTTTAGAATTTATGCATCAAAAACCAAAGGAGTCTCTTCCTTATATGTCACAAGAGGACTCTTAGCTTGCAGGGAAATGACACCAATGTGCATGAAAAGGGCTGTGGTTCCGCCAGTGAGATACGATACCATTCTACATAGTCTGCTCACTACACAACAGGTAAGAAAGCGCTAACGTGGACAGGAGAGGTCCTGCAGTGTGATGTGTGTGGTGCTCACAGTGCAGGGCAGGGCATGTGTGTCCGAGACAGGGGTGGGGGATGGACTTCAACGTGAGAAAACTAGGGAAATTATGGTGTGTGCCCCTTACGAATATCATGTCACTACTAACATGCCCTGAAATGAAACAATGGGGTCACATGTTGCAAGATCTCATTTCTAAAAACTAAAACAAGGAGCTTGACATGTGTGTAGGGAGAGCATCGTAGGATGAAGGTGTGAGGCGGTGAGGGGAGAAGGGTCCAGCTGGGCGTTGGGTGGAGTGGAGATCAAGAACTGGAAAAGAGAACATGAAGAGAGGGACGGTGGGGTGGAGGGAGGAGCAGAGGATATTCCTTACAACCTAACTAAATGTCCTAGGCAGCCATGAAGTCACTCTGCTTATGGCATCCAAAAGACCCCAGGTAACACGTAGCAGAGCCAGAGAGGAAGGAAAACCTTTAGGAATTCCAACTGCCCAGTCTTTAAGTATGAAACACCAAACTGTAGCCATGTTTTAAACTCACTAATTAGGGTGGGAATCCAGGCAGAATTAATTAAAATCCAGGAGAGGGTCATCTTCAGCTGGACCTCGATGTTCTGTTGGGTAGCACTCACGATGGAATCTAGCGCTCAGCTCATCCTATCTTTTAATGACATCAGCTATGACAACACTCCAATGCTGAAGGCAGGCTCCAAAATCAATAGACTGCAAACCCAGATGGTCACTAGAAGATGCACATCAGCAAGGAAATCTACTAAAATTACTTCAAAAACATGATCTGCCTCATAGCTCCACTATTTCCATAGGAAATATTAGTGCCCAGTGGGAAATATGTTGGTTACGTTGGAATTCTTCGGATTCTTCTGGAATCCTAAGCTATCTTGAGTCCTGGTGTGGTGCTGTGGGTTAATGCGCTAGACTGCAAAGCTGTTTGAACTGCAAGGTTGGTGGTTCAAACTGACCAACGGCTCCTTGGAAACCCTACACAGGATTGCTATGGGTCGGAACTGACTCGATGGCACTTTAACAACAACAAGTCTATCTCATCCAACTCACAACATTCACATACATCCCTGCAGCTTAACACCCTGAACAGGGCTGAGTTTTGCTGACTGCAAATTCACACTCCTCTTCACAACACTGAGCATTAAATACGAAAAATACAACTCAATTACTCCTTTAATTGCTCACTAGTATTCTACAGAAACTCAGCAATTGTATAAAATACAGTGAAGTCCCCGGGTTAGGAATGCCTGACTTACAGATAATTTGCCTCCTTTGCTGTTGTGGTTGTTAGGTGACCTCAAGTTGGTTCCAACTCATGGTGACCTTATCTATGCACAACAGAACAAAACACTGCTTGGTCCTGCACCAGCCTCACAATTGTCATGTTTGAGGCCATTGTTGAGGCTACTTTGTCAATCCATCTCATTGGGGGTCTTCCTCTTTTTCACTGCCCTCCACTTTGCCAAGCATGATGTCCATCTCCAGGGACTGGTCCTTCCTGACATGTCTTAAGTACATGAGACAACCTCACCACCCAAGCTTCTAAGGAACATTCTGACTGGACCTCTTCCAAGACAGATTTCCTTGTTCTTTTGGAAGTCTACGGTAATTTCAATATTCTTCGCCAATATCATAATTCAAATGCATTGATTCTTCATTAGTCTCCCTCATTTTCAAACTCCGGCATGCATATGAGACATCTGGAAATACCATGGCTTAACTCAGGTTCACCTTAGTCCTCAAATTGACATCTTTGCTCTTCAACACTTTAAACAGGTCGTTTGCAGCAAATAAATAAATAAATAAATATAATAACACATCTTTTGATTTCTTGACTGTTGCTTCTGTGAGCATTGATGGTGTATTCAAACAAAATGAAGCCTTTGATAACTTCAATCTTTCATATGCTTACCATGATACTATTTATTGTTCCAGTTGTGAGGATTTTCGTTTTCTCTACATTGAGGTGCAACACATACCGAAGGCTGTAGTCTTGACCTTCATCAGTAAGTATTTTAAGTCCTCTTTGCTTCCAGCAAGCAAAATTGTGTCATCTGGATTTCATCTGCTGCTAAATAGTCTTTCTCTAATCCCGATGCCATGTTCTTGTTCATATAATCCAGCTTTGCAGATTATTTGGTCAGCAGACAGATTACATTTAAAGTATGGTGAAAGGATATAATCCTAGCACACATCTTTCTTGATCTGTTATAAGACTGCCTGTTGGTCCGTGTACAGGTTCCTCATCAGCACAATTCAGGGTTCTAGAATACCCATTCTTCCCAATGGTATCTATAGTTTGTTATGATCCAACACAGCCAATGCCATGGCTAGCCAATAAAGCACAAGTAAACATCCTTCTGGTATTGTTTGTTTTCAGCCAAGATCCATCTGATGTCAGCAATAATATTTTGTTCTACTTCCTCTTCTGAATCCTGCTTGAATTTCTGGAAGCTTCCTGTCTATGTATGACTGCAACTGTTTTTGAATGCTCTTCAGCAAAAGTTTACTTACATGTGATATTACTTGATGATTTCTGTATTTCTTTGGGTTACCTTTCTTTGAAATGGGCACAAATAAAGTCCCTTTCAATCAGTTGGCCAGGTAGCTGACTTCCAAATTTCTTGGCATAGATGAGTGGACACCTCCAAAGCTGCATCAGTTTGTTGAAAGATTTCAATATGTATTCCATTAATTCGGAGAGCCTTACTTTCCACTCCCACCCCCCAAAACCCTTCAGTGCAGGTTGAATTTCTTCCTTCAGCACCATAAACTCTTGATTTGAATGTTATGTAAATGTGCCCTCATTTTGAAAGAAATAAACCAACCATTACTCACAAAACTTCTTTCATCAAAATCACCTTCACCTTGTTTGTACTAACCAACTGTGGTGGAGTCAATGGCAACGCATCACTCCCCTACTGGGCGGAGTAGAATGGTTCCATAAGTTTTCTGAGGCTGTTAATCTTTATGGAGTGGACTGCCTCATGGTTCCCCTATAGAGTGACTTGTAGGTTCAAAATGCCAACCCTTCAGTTAGCAGCTTACCACTTAACCCACAGCACCAAGTCTCCTTGCCTGCACTAAAGTCAAACTAAGTAAAAGCTTTATGAACCTGTTATTCCAGCTTACCTACAAATTCAACTTACAGACACACTTAGGAATGGATCTATTTGTAAGCCGGGGACTGCCAACAGTTGAAGTTAGTCACAGGTTAATAAGTAGCTATAACGCAAACAACAGAGGTGGCACAATAAGGAAAGTCTTCAAATAGCTCTAGCAGGGCCAAACAAACTAAGTGAGGTTGTCTTTAGGGTTAAATAGGAAAATAATTAATTAAAACAAATAGTTTTAGGACTATTGGACCACAGGACCCACAGCCTCTACTACCTGGAGACCAGAAGAACTAGATGGTGACCAGCTACCTCTACTGACTGCTCTTTTTGGGATTTCCAATACACAGTCTTGGACAGAGAAGGCGAAAAAGGAAAATAATTAAAACACAAGTCAAAGTCATGAAAAAGACCAGACTTACTGGTCTTATAGAGGCTGGCAGGACCCCCAGGACTGTGACCCTCAGACACACTATGAGACTGGAACTGAACCCATCCCAGGGGATCATCTTTCAGCTGACAACAGATAGATCTAAAAAGTGAGTAACAACACCCATGAAGTTCCGCAATCAACCAAAGGAGGCCAACAGGGCAGTGTTTGCTCAAAAAAAAACAACAACTCAGAAGGCAGGAAGGGGCAGGAAACCAAGATTACTGGAAATGGGGAACCAGGGAGGAAGTGGGAAAGAGTGCTGTTACAATGAGGTCATCATACCTAATGTCATGAAACAAAATGTGGATCAGTGAGTGAATGGAAAAAATTAATTTGCTCTGGAAAATTTCACCCAGCTTACGATTAAAACCAAAACCCAAAAGAGTTAGTCTAAGTAATTTACAAACATGAACATTATACATGATTTAAAATAATGAATAATGGCTTAGAGACACACTGTACTTCCCCACTAGACTAAAGTTAATTATACTTCTCCCTTACTGAGGGCTCACAAGAACATGTGCTTATTCCAGAGCAGAGCCCCTATTGGCTAAGGAAGGTCCCGTGGTTCCTGGTGATGATACAGCAAGTCAAGCCCTGAATGTCAAAAGTGGAAGAACACACAAGGATGGTACACGTGTACAATCATATGCTACTCCAGTGGCTTTCCTGATTATTTCTCAACCAAGTATCTCAACAAAGCATTTCTCAACAAAGCATTCTAACAACAGGCAAAGCTTGCCAGGAGTAAAGACACTAAAAGGCAAAAGTAAATTCTAAGTAGTCATATTTATAACATTTACAATTTGTCAATGTCTCTAACGAAACTACATGGGACGAAAAAGGGTTCTGTTTTACCCAGTACCTTTGAATGGTGTGAGGATGTTGTGTTGTTAGGTGCCAGAGGTGGTTCTGATTCATGGTAACTCTACAGACAACAGAACGGACCACTGTCGGGTCCTGCACCATTCTCACGTGAGTAAAATAAAATTCATGAAGCTTTGTAGTACCAAGAAGCTGATCTTATTACAAAGCCAAATAAAAGGTCAAGCCACCATTATACAAAATATATACGCCAACCTGCCGAGTTCTGCCATTAACATCTGATAAAGTATCATTACCGTGGACTGCTCACCACCTGTGACAGTAGATGACCGCGTTCTCCTAGTGGGGGCACTGGGCTGTTAAAATGATAATTTATATCAATGAAGTGCACAGAGGGAGATGACCAATTGCTTAGTGAAATCAGGAATCAGTGTCATTGGCATACAGCAAGGCAGGTGGCAAAAGATCACAACCTGTCAAATCCATCCCATCTAAACAGTCACTGATGACCAGAACGGAGGACTGTCCTTGCCCTGCCCACCCAGAGGTGGCTCAAGTAAACAAGAAATCACCACCTCAATAAACTGAGATGCCTTTACAAAAAATAATAAATCTACAGGGGTTTTGTCCCCATTAATAATTTAAAAGTCAAAACCAAGCCTGCTGCTGCTGAGTTGATTCTGACTTGTGTAGCAACCCCACGGGTTACAGAGTAGAACTGCTCTATAGGGCTTCGTGGGTTTTTCGCTACAGAAGCAGATTGCCAACCTTTAGGTGAGTGGTAAGCACACACCGTTTGTGCCACCCATGGATCTTACTGCATAATTGGCAGATTCCTAAATCTGCCAAACTCAAGATTCACATTAAGAAACCACGGGTGATCAGTGAGTGGGCAGGGTGATAGAGTGCAAAGCAAAGGAATCATGGGTTTCCAGGAAAAGTTGCATGTGAAATTGACATTGATTTTGAAAAGGAAAATGTCAGTGATTCATCAGGGAAATCACAGAAATCATTCAGTTCCAATTCAGCACAGCGGATTGTTGGGCTTTCAGGCTATGTGCACTGACCATCCCAGAAAGGCCGCTCTTGTCCAGCCCATTGGGTTCAAACCATAATTTAATCTATTTTGGTGACTTTATTCAGTAGTACACACATTGACTCAGTCTTTACACTTAAGAAACTAAACCCTAAGCAGAAATAGCCTTTGAAAAGAGAACAACAATGCACACAATTGGGAAGACACTGATTTGTTTCAAAACCCATAAATGAACTCTTTATTCTTTTTTTCAAATTGATATATAATAAAAGTATTGGTACTAAAAATGATCAAGGATTTGCAGCTAATAAAAGAGACTGGTCAAGGTCAAATACCACATTGAAGAATATGTTAAAACCATGTAATATTTTCACCTTTAAATGAAGTACCCATAAACATTATGAGTCCTTATTGTTAATGTGTATGTCAAATATCATCCCAAGGCAGCTCTGGTCTGCTTCCCAATTGGGAGGATTTACTGACATGCAAGGGGCCTTCTAAAGTTCATGGGAAAATGGAATGAAAGATAATGGAATTTTTCAACAAACTCTGAAGGCCCCTCATATATGTCTTGTTGATAACCCTTTAACACTTCCCTATTTGCTGATCATTAATGAAACTGTAGGTGTGTGAGCACATTAGAGCCAACTGTTGGTATGTAGAGTTGCCTTTTAAGAAAGTGCAGCTGAGGTTTTGTGTGGTTGAGAGTTCAGGCCATTGATAAAAGACAAGGAATATTTGGCTGCCAGCCCCGAAGAGTTCTTCCTGTTTAAAGGGATTCTGTACGTTCTCCACACACAGCTCACTAGAGCACAGCTTTGGAGACTAAATGACGTTTATAAAAAGAAGTGGAGGAGATGGTGGGGAGACTCCTAACATATTCTTTCTATCAAATGAGCACATCAGAATTGGTATGAATTTGGGAGAAAAACTAAAGTGATAAACGTTTTTACTTTTTAGCAAAAATGTTTAGAGACATGGGTGGCCATACCAACTCTTTGTCTTGGATATCCACTGTCATGGGCAATTTTCCAGCCAAGTTTAAAATGCCTTGTGTATACATTAAATGGATTTACACAGGAAAAACTCTTCATCAGCAGCGCAAGTGATTTCAAGGAAAAGCTGAAAAAGCCAAGTGCTGATTGAAAATGAGCAAGGGTTACCGGTGGCAGATGCGCCTGTTCGGCCACCGCATCTGTGACGCTGCAGGACCTCAGTCTTGAGGAGGGTTCTCTTTGCTGGAAGGAAGAAAGGACAGGAAGCATCAGGACCAAGTCTTGAGAGAAACAAGCTTCACTGCTCTGAAAAGCATCTCCCCCTTCAGCCTCCTCCCAGCCCTCCCAGAGTCAGAGGTGGACGAGGGAACTCGGCATCTTCTCAGGAGCGGAGGACACCACCCTGTCTGAAGGCGATCTTGTTTTTATTTTAATGCTGTGTTTTGAGCAGACTCATTGGACTGCCATCCTCAATGTCAGCAGTTCAAAACTACCAGCTGCTTCGCAAGAGAAAGATGAGGTTTTCTGCTCTTGTAACCAACTCCACCCTCCCCACAATGGGGTGAAACAAGAGCACCCCGACAACTCTCCATCTAGTTTGGGAGTCCTGGTGTGGCGCTGTGGGTTAATGTGCTGGACTGCAAGTTCTGTTTGAACTGCAAGGTCGGCAGTTCAAGCTCACCAGCCGCTCCTCGGAAACCCTATACAGGATTGCTATGGGTTGGAACCAACTCAACGGCACTTAACAACAACAAATGAGAAGTAATGGGAAAAATGAAAGGAGGCCAAGACACAAAAGGAGACTCAACAGGTCACTGTAATTCTACAATATGGCTGAGGTCACGCCGTGGGAATAGGGGCTGGGACTGTTTCCATGCCTTTCCACAATGGGTAAATGAAGGACTCATTCCTTAGTACAAGTTCATACTACTGTCTTTGAATACACAGTGAACTTGATAATCTCAATAAGAGAAAAGTCCTGTGTTTTTCTGCCTCCTCATTACTCTTATTTAACAGTGTTCCCAGATGTGAAGAAAATATTCTTTAAATAATAAAACATTGCACTTGGGTCTTAAGGATATTTCATGCATTGAGAATAATTATATGCAGGAGTCCCCTATATAAATAATATATTTTTGTTGTAAAGTGCCAGAGAGTTGGTTCCAACTCATAGCAACCCTGTCAAGTGTCTCCGAGGCTGTAAATTTTTATTGGAGCAGAAAGTTATCATCTTTCTCCCATAAAAAGGCTGGTGGGCTCAAACTGCCAACCTTGTCGTGGTCTGCAGTCCAGTGCTTATCCTGCAGAGCCACAGCACTCCCTACATGAATAGCTAGAAATCAATATTCAACTAGAAATGTTGGCTTAATATTCATATCGAAAAGATTGATTTTTTTTCTCACTTGGTAGCCTAAAGATGTACAATTGATTGCTAAGGTTTCTGTGGTCCTTTTCTTTTCTAGAAAGGTTTTTAAATATAAAGCTCCATTGCTTGCTTATGTTGTTCCCATAGCAACAGGCTCACCAATTCAAATAGCCCATACATGCCACCTCTTTTTCCCACCTTGTCCTTTTAGAACTAAAATTAATCTCAACAGTGTTACTTTTTCTGAAAAACGTTCATAGAATTTTAATATAAACCCAACATGATCTGAGTAATCACTGCAACTCATGCAGATGGGCCAATGTTGTCTTTTTAAACACACACCCCATCGCTGGAGGGGTAACCATTCTGTCTGAGTGTGTACAAGCTTCCTTCCACCGAAACATCCTATTCATGACTGCTGCTCTAGGATCTCACTGTCAGCAGCAAGACCACCATCGTTTACTGCAGTCCTGCTTTAAGTGTAATCATTCGAGAAATGTTGTGTCTGCATTTGCTCTTGATTCTCGGCACACATAGGGATTTCCTATAGGCTTTCCCTGCAGAGTTATGCAAACACCAAACCCCATAGAGCCACTGCACTGAGGTGTTCATGGTGGATTCCCTGCTTCTCATCGGGGCAGGCCCCCACCTAAAGCTCCTCAAGGGAGTTTTATCAGATGGCTGAGGTCCCAAGTTCAAATTCTCCCTTTGATGACTGTGTTACTGGTTACAACTATTCTTAGGGATTTGTACTTGGGGACTTAAGACGTCTTTTATCTCCCATTCTAAGGATAGCCAGGTCACTTCCAAACCCTGCCTTTAACTGTGAACTGGGAATGATCAAGCATGCAGGGTAAGACTGGTGTTAGATGGTGCTGAGTTGGTTCTGACTCACAGTGACCCTGTATAGGGTTTCCATCCAAAGAACACTTAGTGGGTTTGAACTGTTGACCTTGTGGTTAGTAGTCCAATGCTGATCCTACATCACCACAGGTAAGACACTTTTAGGGGACTAATTAGGAGGATCCCGAGTTTTAGTGTAAAATAAAATAAAATAAAATTTGTAGTGGTTACAAATCGGGCTGCGAACCGCAAGGTCAGCAGTTCGAAACTACCAGCTGTTCCGCGGGAGAAACATAAGGCGTTCTGCTCCCGTAAAGATTTACAGCCTCAGAAACCCTGTGCAGGTCAGAAACCCTGTGCAGGGTCACTATGAGTCGGAACTGACTCCATGGTACTTAACAACAACATGATGAAAATGTACTATTTTAAAGAGCTTCCGGCTGGGAAAAATAAGAATTCTACCAAGATCAAGCTGATAATTACAAAACATATAGACTCTTATTCCTGAAAATTCTTTACAAATCAACAAAGCTTCTCAGCTGCCTGGGTGGATTTTAGTATGGTCCTATGTCTCCCAGGAAACGAGGTGGCAGAGTTTCTGGGAGGTCAGAAGACCCTTGGTCATTAAAGCAACAACATAATGACAAATTATTTGCTTGACTTTCTTGATCAAACCAGATCATAACTTACAATCAAAGAGCTGAATTGTTCCCCATTGGAATCTGGAGTGACCTGAAGCCTTCTGGTGAGTTCTTCTGACAGCTCTTGAGGGCTCGTCCGGGACACAGGGGAAGCCGGTGGGGGTGGCAGGGCCAGACTGAGCGAGTCCCCAGTGAGATTCACTTCTTCCGAAATGGTCTCCCACGGCTTTCAAGGAATAAGACATTGGTAAATACTAGAACTGGGGATTAGCAGCCCCCCACCCTGAAAAAATTATAACAACTATGACCCTTATAAAACTATAATTAACATGTATTCAGCACTCATTACAACGCACGTAATCTTCACAGTAACCCTGAGGAAGATATGACTACTATCCCAATTTGCAGAGGACCTAGGAGTTCACTGCCCAAGGTCGTAGAACTAGTAAGTGGCAGGTCCAGGACTTGAACCCAGGAAGTGTTGCCCCAAAGGCTGTGCTAGAAACCCTTCTATAGTCCCATCTCACCGAGGTTATTCTAAGTTGTCATATGCATATCTAGGAAACGTATTTATCTGGGAGCTAGGAGACCCTTGGGCAAGATTCACATGTATACAAGCGGGTAAGCATATAGTAAAAATGATCCTCAGGAATGCAAAAATGATTTCCGTGGATTTTTTGCTCGATTGAAAGTGCACAATAGACACAACACAGATGCTGGAAGCCAAGATTCAATGCTGGCACAGAGTAACTTTTGGTGAGTTTATTGTGGCATTATGAATTTTGCTTCTCCATGTTTGGTGGTCACAGGAAGAGTTTGTGAATGATCAGCTTGCTAACACAATGCCTATAAAGAGTGGAATTCTAGTAAGAAAACAAGGTGGTAATGTTGCGTGAAAATTCTAACTGGGGCTGATTGCTTAATTCTTAATTTTTCTCCTCCAATAACGTACCAGAAACAATGAAAGGAAAATTATAAACATCTCTTATTTACTCAAATTTGCATTTCTGTGATAATAAATCTCTTTGAAGATGTCACAACCCCATAGTAAAAACTGGTATTTGAGACCCAAACAAGTGACAAAGCTCACTCAATTGCTCAAACATGATAAACATGTTGCCAAATAATGAGATATGGTAGACCCTGGAGAAAAACAGGAAGTGAACGTATCTTTAGATTTTGACAGTTTCTCTACTAAAAATAATGCTATTCCCTTTTACAGTGACAAAGAGACACATGTCTTTGTCCAATGTGGTTTGTTCAAGCACTTTCTAAATTAATTAATATCCAGACGGAAGTCAATTAGCTGGAGAACATGTTCTTTTCTTTCTAAGCAAGGCTTCCAGGGAAAAGAAATGACAATATAAAATCATCCTGGCCAACTTGTCCAGTAGCTCAGGGACTCCGAACCTCAGGGGTGTCTCCGCCTTCTGGGGGCTCTGGCTCCAAGTCCTCGCTGATATGACGGCGGGAGCGAAACCGCCGGTGGGCAGCCTCCTGGTTTATCTGCCGGATGTTGTTGTCAGACTCAGAAGAAACATCCCTGGGTGATGCCGGGGTGAGAGGGAATCAAGAAGAAGAGAAAAGACATTGAAAGACTGTCCTCCTGTAGTAATGATAAATTCTCACTAAGAAGCTAACAGCAAACAGTTGTTGTCAAGTCAAATCTGGCTCGTGATGACCCAATGTGTGTAACAGGTAGGGCTGTGCTCCACAGGGTTTTCAATGGCTACTTTTTCAAAAATCAATGGCTACACTTGTCTTTCAAGGTGCCTACAGGTGGACTTGAACCTCCAACCTTGTGATTAGCAGCCAAGTTGTTTTTTGTCTGCACCAGTAAATGACACCCTATGAAATGCACACATCCTAAAAGGATGGCATGTCCATCAAATAAATGCAGTTTTGAAAAGCACCACTCACAATATTTTGAGGCTCTTTCATGCCCACATTTCCTAATGACTTTCAGTATGTAACACTAATCACAATCCTCTGTCAATCTGCCACAGTGGCGAGGTAGGTCACTGGGGAGGTGACAGGTACACTTACACACCTGTGGTCCCTCCAGGGGTCTAGCAATGACAGGGCCACTACTTTTGGTCATTGACAATTCAATGTTGAGATATGGTCACTTTCAATGTTGGGATATGGAGGGAAGGGCTCCTGACCCAATAGAATTTTTTCACCTGCTCTGGATTTCATTTTGACCAAATACCAGAATCATGACACTGTGTTTGCTCTCAACCTACTTTAAAAAATTCAGGTAAACAACAGGCAGTAACTTCCCCAATCAGCTGGGATTTGAAGAGCATGCCAACTTCATATCCTTTTTTTTGGGTCATAAAACTTTCTGGTTCAGAATCTGAAAACATCCACTCAGTCCTGAAAATTATTTTAAAATAAATTACAGGAAACCATTCTTTGGGAGAAATACTAGCTGGAGGCTTTTAGAGTAGAAGTTTTCGGAGAAAACACCCATAGAATCTTTCAGTAAGAGTCCATGTTCCATTACTAAAAATGATGCAGCCGTATCCCAAACTATTTGAATACCTTATTATCTCAGACAAATTAGAATAAGGGGGTATTAACCAAAATCTGTACTACCTTCTTTGAACGAATTTGAATATACCACATCCAAATAGAAGAGCCTTCTAACGAATTTGAAGATACCACATCCAAATAGAAGAGCCTGCTGTGCCCTTGTCAAAATGAAGCTTTTACAACCAGCATTACTGTTGGAAAATAAAGTAGACTCTTTAATGCTACTTTCCAAGACAATTGAAGTATTAATTTTATGGGGAAAGTGCATAGTATGAAGGTTAATTTCTGTTTAATCCAAATTTAAATCATAACTCATCATTGTTACATTCTGAATGAATGCAGTTTGATTGTATTTGCAACACACTATACAAGCCAGGGTATTTTCAATAACCTCGTATGCATGAGAAAGTTGGAATAAGGAAGTTCGTAGAAGGATTGATGCATTTGAGTTATGGTGCTGGAGGAGAATATTAAAAGTACCATGGACTGCCAAAAGACCAAACCAATCTGTGTTGGAAGACGTACAGACAGAATGCTCTCTGCAAGTCAGGGTGGCCAGACTTCGTCTCTCATACTTTGGACCTATAGTCAGGAGGGACCAGTCCTGGAGAAGGAGATCATGTTTGATAGGGTGGAGGAGGGTCAGAGAGAAAGAGGAAGACCCTCAGCGACATGGATCGGCACAGTGGCAGCAGCAATGGGCTCAAATATAGCAATGATTGTGAGGCACAAGGCTGGGAAATGTTCTGTTCTGTTATACCGACTTGATGGCACCTAACAACAACATACAAGCTTCTGCACTCAAATAGAAAGAAATGTTATACATAGTTTATTGTTATAGTAGGTTACACAACTAGACTAAAACAGCACATTAAACAAATACAAACATCTTAGGAACAACTGACATAATTATGACCACAGAGAAAACAATTAAAATCAAGGGAGACAAGTGTTCTAATGAAACCAGAAAAACCGAATGATTACACATGACCCTTTGCTGGGACTGTTAAAGAAATAAGAGTATATTTGTGATGATATGCTGCTATAGCCCTCCTGACATGGCATTGGATTCTCAAGCACAAAATGATTGCTGAAAGTCATCAGAACGTCCTGCAGGACCGAAAAACACTGGGAAGGAAAACGGTCAGAAGACAGTAACAAAATACATGAAATATTTCAGTAGTGTCTAAGAAGGCTTTTAGCTCTCCTCTTAAGACTTTTCTCAAGGATGAAAGCAATTTCATTTTATAATGATTGATCTCACTTGAAAACATTTTATATCCAAAAGGTTTTATCAAAATTTTAAATCTTTATTTAAAATGTCAGTTGTGGTTTTAGTCTATCAACACTGACTGTCTACTGCTCCTGGTCTACATGAGGCACTTAACACACACTTGAGTCGTAACCACAGCTTGTGAATGATGGAGAAGAGCAAGGTTTTAATGTCACTGAATCTGTAGCTCATCTTTTTCAAAAATTCACAGAACTCCTTTACTCTATAATGGATTTTATACAACAGAATGTTCAAAATCACATGTCAATCTTCCTTATTCAACAAGCCCAAATAACTAGAAGTTGACATCGTTACACATCACCAGGCTGATTCTGACTCATTGCAACCCCATGAGACAGAGTGGAACTGTCCCATTGGGTTTTCTTGGCTGTTATCTCCATGGAAGAAGCCTGTTGTTGTTGTTGTTGTCAGGTGCCATTGAGTCAGAACCGACTCGTAGCAACCCCATGCACAGCAGAACGAAACAAATATCCGACCCTGGGCCAACCTCACTACCGCTGTCACACTTGACGCCATCAGTGATGCCACCTGGCTGATCCATCTCGTTGGG